CAGGAGTTCCTGACTAGCCTGCCCAACATGGTAAAACCCCATCCCTACTGAAAATACAAAAATCAGTCAGGTGTGGTGTGGCACACCTGTAATCCCAGCACATTATAATAAATGCAACAAGTTCTATACAGAAATACACATGTATATGAAATATGTAGGTGGTCACATACTGCAGCAATGATTATAATTACAAAAAGCTGGAAACAACTTTAATGCCCATCGACAGAGGCTGAATATAAATTAAAATATATCCATACTTTTGAATTCTATGCAGGAAATTTCTTAATGTCCTGATAGGAAGAGCTCACCAAGATAAATTTGTTACATAAAAATGCAAGATAACAGGTTTCTCTGCTGTGAATCTGCGACAAGTATTTATTTTAGCATCCACAAATGGCTTCTCATTCTGATTTTGGATCTTTCCCCATAGAAAATATGCATGTTTTACAGTTTTACAACTAAAGAAGTATTTTGTGTCTTTATGACATTTATATCATACAAACAAATCTTTTGTTTAAATTCATTAGCAGCTAATGTCTAGCCAGCCTTCAACTATGACAATTAACACTATTGGTGAAACTGGATAAACCAAAGGGCAATTGGTGATAAGAACCTGCCACCACTTAGGAATGTGGGCATGGTTTGTTAAGAAGGTTGAGAGCAAATTAAAGTGGTGCTTAACTTCGGTCAATGACTATCTTGCTTAATTTCAAAATTCTGTGTCCACAGTGATTGAGCAAATGTTTTCCAAGAACATTGTTTTCATTCCTATTTCTAAAAAGGTTGTATAACAGATGTATTTTTTTTTTTTTTTTGAGACGGAGTTTTGCTCTTGTTACCCAGGCTGGAGTGCAATGGCATGATCTCGGCTCGCCGCAATCTCCGCCTCCTGGGTTCAGGCAATTCTCCTGCCTCAGCCTCCTGAAGTAGCTGGGATTACAGGCACGTGCCACCATGCCCAGCTAATTTTTTATAAGTAGAGACGGGGTTTCATTATGTTAACCAGATGGTCTCGATCTCTTGACCTCGTGATCTACCCGCCTCGGCCTCCCAAAGTGCTGAGATTACAGGCGTGAGCCACTGCACCCGGCCAACAGATGTATTTTGTAATCTGCTGTTAGCGTCAAGAAGAGTGAAAAAGGTGTTGGTGCTTGCATTTAATTTTGCTCATTCACAAGTAAATTATCTGGAAAGACAAAAACTCAGAAAAATATCACAGAAAATGTAACAGGAAAAAAAAATTAGGATAGAAAAGGTATGAAAATTACTTTCAATCCTGAAGACTCCATCCAAACAGTAAGTTAGTGAAAGAAAGCGCTTGAAATGTTCTAAAACTTAAGGACATGACATTTTTTTTTTTTTTTTTTTTTTTTTTTTGAGATGGAGTTTTGCTCTTGTTGCTCAGGTTGGAGTACAATGGCACGATCTCAGCTCACCGCAACCTCTACCTCCTGGGTTCAAGCAATTCTCCTTCCTCACCCTCCCAAGGAGCTGGGATTATAGTCATGTGCCACCAAGCCTGGCTAATTTTGTATTTTTAGTAGAGACGGGGTTTCTCCATGTTAGTCAGGCTGGTCTTGAACTCCTGACCTCAGGTGATCCACCCTCCTCAGCCTCCCAAAGTGCTGGGATTTCAGGCGTCAGCCACTGCACCTGGCCAGGACATGACTTTTTAACTGAGGAATGCTCCAAGTACATCATCATCAAGTTTCAGAATGCAGAAATAAAACCCCAAATGCTTCCAGGAAGAAGAAAATCACACAGAAAAGATCAGAAATAAGAATGTCTTTGGACTTCTTGACAGCAATAACTTCAAATTTCTGAGGGAAAATGATTTCTGATCTGGTTCTGCATTCAGCTAAATAATCAAGTGTGAGGTCTGAATAAAGACATTTTTTTTCCTTTTCTTTTAATTTAAAAAATTTTCCTTTTTTTCCACCATGTTCCTTCTTTTGGAAGAGAATAAAGACATTTTCATACATGCAAGGTTTCAAATTTTACCTCTCATGGGATTTTTTTTTTTCCTCAGTAAACTGCTGCAGAATTTGCTCCACCAAAATGAAAAAGAAAATAAAAAAAGAGAACAGAGACATGAGATTCAGGAAATAAACGGTGGAAGGAAGGAGAGAGGCAAAAGGAAGTCTTAGGATGTTGGCCAAGGAAGCCCCAAGACAACAGTTGTGTGGGAAGTTTAGACAGCAACCAATCTAGGCTGGAACAGGATGGGAGAAGAGGCTTGAAGAGAGATGCCTCCAAGAGGAGACTATATGAAACCTAGTCTGGTAAGGTACTGAAAGAATTAGCAAGAGGCACATAACGAGTGCAACAAATGAAAAAACAGTGGCAATTACTTACTCTAGAAGAAGTGAAAAGTTCTAAGAAAAACAGTATAGAAAAAAACAGAAGCAAAACTATATTGTCATAAGTATAAAATTATCAAATGTTTTTATAAAAAATTTCGATACAGGGAGGAATAAGGTGAGGATGTTTTAAGGATTATTCAATTTATGTGTATACATAAAAAAGCTAAATTCTCATCTATCTAGTAAGAAATAAATAAATAATGTCTAAGCTAGGTAAAGCAACATAGCAATATTGACATATTATTTAGAAATAGAAGACATATAGCTAAATGAGTTCAAAGATATCTTTGTGGAGGGGAACAGAGAAACTGAATTTTTTCTAATATAAACTTGCCTTTTGGTAATATTTGACTTTTGAAAGTAAGTGCATGTATTACTTTGATTAAAAAAAGCTAACATATATTAAGAAGGTGTCAAGCAGTGTTCTAAGCATTTTACATTTGCTAAATAGTTTAATCTTCCCAACAAGCTTATAAAGTAAGTCTCATCCCTTTTTAAAACAAGAAAGCTGGCTGGGCATGATGGCTGACACCTGTTAATCCCAACACTTTGGGAGGCTGAGGTGGGAGGACTGCTTGAGCCCAGCAGTCTGAGACCAGCATAGGCAACACAGTGAAACCCCATCTCCCTCTCTACCAAAAACACAAAAATTAGTTAGGCATGGTGGCATGCACCTGCATTTCCAGCTACTTGGGAGGCTGAGGCGGGAGGATCAGTTGAGCCCAGGAAGTAAGGGAGACTGTGAGCTGTGACTGCACCACTGCACTCCAAGATGGGTGACAGAGTGAGACCCTGTCTCAATAACAACAACAACAAAAGGGAAGCAGGAAGACAGGCAGGTAGGCTAAGGCCCAGAGAGATTAAATAATTTATTCAAGGTCAAACAGCTAGAAAAAGGCAGAGCCAACATTTGAACCCAAACAATGCAACTCTGTGGCTTTTTTTTTTTTTTTTTTTTTTTTTGAGATAGGGTCTCATTCTCTTGCTCAGGCTGGAGTGCAGTGGCGAGATCATGGCTCATTGAAGCCTCCACGTCCCAGGCTCAACCGATTCTCCGGCCTCAGGAGAGGCTGGGACCACAGGTATGTGCCACCACACCCAGTTACTTTATAAATATTTTTTGTAGACATGGGGTCTCACCTTATTGTTCAGACTGGTCTTAGACTGAGGGTTCCCTCCTCCCTTGGCCTCTCATAGTGCTAGGATCACAGTGAACCACCGTGCCCAGACCAAACACTCTTAATGTAATGTTGCAGTATTACTCTGATTTGTCCTATCATAAAGTTGAAAATTTTAAAATATTCCAGTTAAAAAATGTAAAATGTGTTTCAAATACAGAATACCATGAAAATGCTACTTATGTGTTCTTTAGTCAAGAGCCTAGCTCACTATACTAGTGAATGAAGATTCTATGTTTTAAAAATAAACTCATATTTTGTGTTGAAAACAAGATGCATTCCTTCAGTTAGGTTTGTACTACCATGCCATTTCTTCTTGTCTTTCTACCCTTATACAATAGTTGTCCCATATTTATGTCTTTTTATTTTAAGCCACTCCTTTACGGGGAAAAAGGATGGTTTCATATAACATATGAACAATAAAAATGTTTCATATGAAATTTAAACTTGTTTATAAAAAAAGGTAACAATGGAAATACATTTGTTATAAGAACAACAGAAAGTTTAAAATCCTTAACTAAAGATTCATCAATAATAATATCCAATTTGCTGAGAAGAGCAAATTCAAAAGGCTAATATTCAACCTTACTACTAATAAAGTATACACAATTGGAAATGAGATATTATCTACTGTCTCCCTTACCTAACTGGCAAATACAAAAAATAATTTTAGCACTAGCAAAGCTGCAATTAGCTAGGCACATACGCAATTTATGGCAACATAAATTAGCATAGACTTTATGAAAATGAATTTGACCATATGTGTGAAGACATTCTACTACTCATCTAGCCAAGAAAATAATTTAAAGTGCAATAACACTAACAGTCAGTGAAATATCAGAATCAACTTAAGTGCTCCAAAATAGAATGGGGGACAAGGAGGAAGGATACTTACATTTATTATCATAAGCCTAAATAAAATGAAATTCTCTTTGGGAGGCTGAGGTGGGTGGTTAATGAGGTTAAGAGATGGAGATCATCCTGGCCAACATGGTGAAATCCTGTCTCTACTAAAAATACAAAAATTAGCTGGGTGTGGTGGCATGTGCCTGTAGTCTCAGCTACTTGGGAGACTGAGGCAGGATAATCACTTGAACCTCGGAGGTGCAGGTTGCAGTGAGTCAAGACTGTGCCACTGCACTCCAGCTTGGTGACAGAATAAGACTCTGTCTCAAAAAAATAAAATGAAATGAAATCCTCAATCATCAATAATGTTTTGATAACAGAAAAATTCTTCTAACAATAAAATTATGTTTACAGAAGGATCTCAATTACATGCCAGATAAACTCAGACCTGAGAAATCGAAATGTTAGCTGTCATGTTCTCTGATAACAATGTATGCAACATTTTTCCATCACTGAAATTGTTTTGATTATCCAAATTTTCTTTTGTAAACAAGAAATAATCTCATAGATGGGAAGAGCAAAGTTCGTTTGCATGTAATGCTGTTTCACCTACCTTGGTGGCTGTTACTGTTGTAGCCAAGTTTGTAGTTTTGGAAGAGGATCCATTAGAAGTTGCTGGTGGTGTCTGAGCCACTACAGATTTACTGTTTGTTCCATTAGCAGCACTGGCAGAGTGGGAGAAAGTAAATTTGAAGCCACCAGGAGATGTCCTTTTCGGAAGGTTTTCCTTGTCTTCACTTTCTTTTGCTAAAGCAGAAGTAAAATTTTGAATGTGTATCAATAAGTGTTGCTAAGTCAAAATGTCTGAAAACAGCAATAATTAAAAAACTTATAAAATATTGCCTTTGTTTCCTAAGAACTAAAAAAGCAGAGCATGATGTGTACAGTGATAATATGGTTTGGCTCTGTATCCCCACCCAAATCTCAAGTCAAACTGTAATCCCCACATGTCAGGGGAAGGGCCTGGTGACAGGTGACTGGCTCATAGGGTTGGATTTCCCCCTTGCTGTTCTTTTGATAGTGAGTTTTCACGAGATCTGGTTGTTCAGAGTTTGGCACTTCCCCTCTTGCTCTCTCTCCTGCTGCCATGTAAGACATGCCTTGCTTCCTGTTTTGCATGTAAACAGGTTTTTTTACACGTTTTCTGAGGCTTCCCCAGCCATGTGGACTCGTAAGTCAATTATACCTCTTTTCTTCATAAATTACCCAGTCTCAGGTACTTCTTTAGAGCAGTAAGAAAACAAACTAATACAAAAAATTGGTACCAGAGTGGGGTACTGCTATAAAGATACCTGGAAATTGAAGGGTACAGTGGCTCATGCCTGTAATCCCAGCACTTTGGGAGGCTGAGGCAGGTGGATCACTTGAGGTCAGGAGTTTGAAACCAGCCTGGCCCACATAGTGAAACTTATTATCTACTAAAAATACAAAAATTAGATAAGTGTGGTGGCAAAAGCCTTTAAGCCTATAATGCTCCAGAGGATGAGGTAACAGAGTCACTTGGGAGCTGGAGGCTGCAGTGAGCTGAGACTGTGCCACTGCACACCAGCCTGGTGACAGAGTCAGACTCCATCTATACCTGAAGATGTGGAACTGGATAACAGGCAGAGGTTGGGACAGTCTGGATGGCTTAGAAAAAGATAGGAAGATGTGGGAAAGTCTGGAACTTCCTAGAGCCTTATTGAATGGTTTTGACCAAAATGCTGACAGTGATACAGACAATAAAGTACAGGCTGAGGAGGTCTCACATGAAGATGAAGAACTTATTGGGAACTGGAGTCACTCTTATTGGGAATAAGTCACTCTTGCTATGCTTTTAGCAAAGAAACTGGCAGCATTTTGCCCCTGCCCTAGAGATCTGTGGAACTTGAACTTGAGATGATTTAGGTTATCTGGCAGAAGAAATTTCTAAGCAGCAAAGCATTCAAGGGGTGGCCTGGGCCAGGTGCGTTGGCTCATGTCTGTAATCCCAGCACTTTGGGAGGCCAAGGCGGCTGGATCACTGGAGGTCAGGATGGCCAACAAGGTGAAACCCTGTCTCTACTAAAAATACAAAACTCAGCCAGGCATGATAGCACATACCTGTAGTCCCAGGTACTCGGGAGGCTGAGGCAGGAGAACTGGTTGAACCTGGCGAGGAGGAGGTTGCAGTGAGCCAAAATCATGCCACTGCACTAGAGCCTGAGAAAGAGTGCAAGACTCTGTCTCCAAAAAAAGAAAAATGAGGTGTTCTGGCTCTTTCTAAAAGTGTACACTCATATGCATGAAGGAAGAGATGGTCTGAAATTGAAATTTATATTTAAAAGGAAGCAGAGCATAGAGTTTGGAATATTTGCAGCCTGACCATGCAGTAGAAAAGACAAACCCATTTCCTGGGGAGAAATTCAAGCTGGTTGCAGAAATATGCATGGGAGCCAAATGTTAAATTAACAGGCCCAGAGGCCAAGGAGGGAAAAATGGTTTTGTGAGCTGGGCCCACGGTCCTGCTGCTCTGTGCAGTCTTGGGACATGGCACCCTGCATCTCAGCTGTTGCAGCTCCAACCATGGCTAAAAGGAGCCAAGATACATCTTGGGCCATGGTTTTAGAGGGTGCAAGCCCCACAACTTGGTAGCTTCCATGTGGTATTGGGCCTATGGGTATGCAGAAGGCAAGAACTGAGGTTTGATAACCTCTGATTCCCAAACCACCTAGATTTCAGAAGACATTTGGAAATGCCTGGATGTCTAGGCAGAAATCTGCTACGGGGCAGAGCCCTCATGGAGAACCTCTACTAGGGCAGTATGGAAGAGAAATGTGAGGACGGAGCTCTGACACAGAGTCCCTACTGGGATACTGCCTAGTGGGGCTGTGAGAAGAAGGCCACCATCCTCCAGACCCCAGAATGGTAGATCCACCGACAGCTTGCACCATGCACACGGAAAAGCCACAGGCACTCAACATCAGCCCATGAAAGTAGCCACGGGAGCTGTACCCAGCACAGCCATAGGGACGGAGTCAGTCATGGCGTTGGGAGCCCATCTGTTATATCAGCATGCGCTGGATGTGAGACATGAAGTCAAAGAAGATTATTTTGGAGCTTCAAGATTTAAAGACTGCCCCCTGTAGCCCCTTTGTTTTGGCCAAATTCTCCCATTTGGAATGGGAGCATTTACCCAATGCCTGTACCCCCTTTGTATCTTGGAAGTAACTAACTTCTTTTTTATTTTACAGGTTCATAGGCAGAAGGGATTTACCTTGTCTCATATGAGACTTTGGACCTGGGACGTCTGAGTTAATGCTGGAATGAGTTGTGACGTGGGGAGACTGTTGGGAAAGCATGATTGGTTTTGAAATGTAAAAAGGACCTGCTATTAGAGAGAGGCCAGGGTTGGAATATGGTTTGGCTATGTGTGCCCATCCAAATCTCATTGTGAACTGTAATCACCAGGTATTGGAGGAGGTGACTGAATCATGAGGCAGAATACCTCGTTGCTGTTTGTGTGACAGTGAGTTCTCATGAGATCTGGTTGTTTAAAAGTGTGTTGCACCTCCTCCTTCACATTCTCTGTCTCCTGCTCCATGAGGGTTAAGATATGCTTACCTCCCTTTCTCCTTCTGCCATGACTGTAAGTTTCCTGAAGCCTTTCAGCCATGTTTCCTGTTAAGCCTATGGAACTATGAGTCAATCAAATCTCTTTTCTTCATAAACTACCCAGTCTTAGGTAGTTCTTTTTAACAGTATAAAGCGAACTTATACAAGGGATAAGTCTTTATTAGCTAGAATCTTAGAAATCTCAGTATTAGAAAGGAACTTAAAGATCCTAACAAAATTAGCCATCCTGTGCTAGAACTCTACATTGCAGTATCTAGCATGTACATCTAAAATCTCATTAGCTATCTGACTTCCTTTTATTGTCTCCCTGTAGCTTCCACCTACTGACTCTACACTTCTTTTACTCACTGTAAAAACCTAGTAATTTCTCTCACAAGTCAACATTCCAAATGTCTGAAGACAATGATCAAGTCTGCAAGTCCGAAATATTCCAAGTTCCTTTTCTGTTTCTTTTATGATACAGGGTTCCAATCCCCTTTAACATCTGGTGACTATTTTTATATATGATTCTTAACAGTGTGTCACTAGATACAGAACTTCAAATATGGCTGTACTGCCTCTTTTGACAGTAGTCAGGGCAGTACCTATAATGAGTAAAGGCAGAAGAATTTGTCTAGCAAAGATACCTATTCCTTAGGACATTTTAATAGGCTTGTTGCTCCCCTACGCTGAGGCAGATAAAACGTATCAAATTAATAAGTTGAAAATGAGTAGGAACGATAGTTTCAAAGAAAATGTAATAAATAAATGAAATTAATTCTCTGAGAATTGCCTTTAGAAAATGTCACATTCAAAATCACAAAGCTACATAATACATCCAGGAAAGGCTTTTATCTTTTAAGGTATAATTTTTTTTTGTTTTTGAGATATGGTCTTTCTCTGTTACTCAGGCTGGAGTGCAGTGGCAGCTTATGGCTCACTGTAGCTTCAACCTCCTTGGCTCAAGTGATCCTCCAGCCTCAGCCTTCCTAGTAGCTGGGACTCCAGTTGAGTGTCATCATGCCCATCTAATTTTTGTGTTTTTTGTAGAGAGAGGGTTTTACCATGTTACCCAGGGTAGTCTGGAACTCCTGGGCTCAAATGATCCGCCTGCTTCAGCCTCCCAAAGTGCTAGGACTAAAGACATAAGCCACCATGCCCAGCAAGATATGAATTTTAATTAAATATTTAAATGATATATGCAGGGCAGTATTCCAAAAAATGGTAATTCCTCATTTTAGTTCTTTTGAAAGGTTAAGTACTAGCAAGATCTTTGTTTTATAAAACAAGTTAAATACACCTGAAAGCCAGGTGGAAATTTTACTTTTTCACTTATCTTGACAGCGTATCTTTATGTAACATTTATAATTTAAAAATTTTAAAGAGCAAAGTTACTTCTTTGAGCTTAGTTTATCAGCTATAAAAGACACAGGCAAAGTACTCTAGAAGATTTCCATGAATCTATATGGTCTCTATTATTCCTGAGAATTTCAGTACAGAAATAAAGACAAGACTGTTTTCAGAAAGAAAAGTCTAAGTAGATAATTCAATTTCTAACTAGCAAACTAATAGCATTATTGAATGGCAAGTTTGAAGAGAAACGTTTTAAACATGAAAACAATTCTCAGACAGATTTGGAAAAGTATATAATTTTAAAAGAACACAATTCAGTATAAAATGGTCTTTCTTGCTTTGTAAATTATAAACAAACCTTCAAAAGCAACAGAAAAATTTTTGCAGTAAATAAGAGGGTATACTGTACAGAAATTCAGAATCTTAATACCTTTCTTAGTCTCCATAAACTTTTCATAATTATCTGGAAAATCATCTTCTGGCTTAGATTTTTCCACTGGTGCCACAACCGCTTTTCCTTCCTCTTCCTCATCTTCATTAAACCACATTTCTTCATCCTCTTCCAAGGCTTTTGCGTCTCTGCGAAATCTGTTACTACGCAATATAGATGGTACACTGTAAGAAATGTATCACAAATATTCAGTAATGATTTAAGTTCACGATCAGATTGAATTGAAGGAAAAATATGTATCATCAGGAGGAAGTGAAGTAATTTTAGCTGAGTATAATTTATATCAAAATCATCTCTGTCATGATAGAAGATGTAGCCAGAGAACACTAACACTCCAAATTATTTTAGAATATTGTATATTAAACTAAATATTCTTCTTAAGTTACAATATGGAGTGGTAACTCATCATTTAAATGATGTGGGGTAGGAGGAACACCTTACCCTCCTATTCAGCTGTACACTCTCCAGTGATGGGAAAGAAAATTCCTCAGTAAATTTCACACGGAAAATATGAACTACAGACAATTTTGGATACAATTTTGTAGGCTATAGAAGCAGTATACTTAAACAATACCTGTTCAGTTTCTGATTTTGTCTGTCTTTTTCTTGCTCATATTTAGTCTTCAATCCTTTGAATGTCTGAACATACTCAATCGATTCAAGTGCTTTATAAAAGTTTTCAACTATATGTGCAGTAAGAGATTTGATATCTTCCTGTATAAGCACAAAATTCACATTTGAAATATAATACAATGCTTATTAAAAAAAACAACTTTAAAATTTTGTTTTGCAGTTCTAAAGCTGATCAAAAAAGGTTTTTCAAAATCACCTTCCAACATGTAATGTCCTGGTTTCTTTATATATGACTACACAGAAAACTTGAAAAAAAAGGAGAAGCAATTTACTGGAGCCCTTTTGCGGGACTATAGAAAACATTCAAAAAGTAAATGGCTTTCTTTTACATCTTCTGTTTATGTTTTGTATTTATATATAGCACTTGACAATTTAAAAAGTATTTTTATATACAATTTCATTTGATCTGCATAACAACTCTATGAGATAGGTTTTATTATCCCCATTTTAGAGAAAAACAAAATAGAGGCTCAAGAGAAGCTGAATGGTTTGATCCAGAGCACACAGCTGGTTAGAGGGAAGATATTAAAATTACGTTTTCAAAATACTCACGGTGATGGATACCCCAAACACCCTGACTTGATCATTACACATTCTAATGCATGAAAAAAAAAAAAGTACATATACCAAAAAAATCTGTAAAATATTATGTATCAATAAAAGAAAAATTATATTTTTCAACAAACAGGTGTTATTTAATGACTTCCTACTTAACTGCTATCAAAATGGGATATGGTTGTGTTGGTTTTCTTTTTGGTACATTTGTTAAGTTTTCAAATGAGCCTAACTCTGCCACATATATTACATAGAAGCTGGCAAAGGCTTGATGACAAAGAGATCTCTCTCAAGCCTTTCCCATATCTGAGGCTGGCTCCCACACATAGAATAAGAAAAAATCAGTAAAGGATACATCTTACCTAAACAATAAATAAGCACAGATTTCTCTGACTATATTATATAGACAGATCTGATAAACTATCTGGAATTCTACTTATCCCTGTAGTCTTCTGATAGTATAATATTTGTGAAATAAACTGATAGTAATAACTTCTAAATTCTAAATCATCACTGCAAATGCATGTATGCCCAGTAGGCTTATTTAAAAAAAAAAAAACTAAAGTTGTGATTCAGGACTTTATAAATAATACCACATATTTAAGAAACACACAGGTCATTTCTTGAAAAGATACATCATAATTTGGTTGCATTACGGATTTTAAGTCTTAAAACTAGTTCTCCTGTACATCTCAATAAAAAATATGCAGCTCAGAAATTAGAAACCTAGGTAATGGCTCTGTGTTATACATGAAAAGAAAACACATTAAGTTTTGGGACACAAGGTACATAAATCAACCACTCAAAAACTTATTTTCAGAAAAACAATTCAATTGTGGTCATATGGATGGGGTTGTAAACCCTACAGTTTGCTTTATCTCTATCTCACCAAAATTTTAAAGGAGAAAAATATAAAGTAAATAAAATATTTAAAAGTTTTTATTTATTCCAACAGTACAATGGGAACTAGTGAGCTAGTTAACCATATTCCTTCTTTTCCAAGGTTAAAGACTTCTATCCTCTTCATTCTTTTAAACATCATATACTTGGCAACCGACCACTTTTAGAAAAGCAATCCAGTCAGCCAAATTATCTTCGTATGAAGACAGCATATCATCAGTAGAAATCTAATTTGTAAAAAATAAAACTAGAGAATGAATTTCTAGCTTTGACTTTCTTTTTTCAAATTCTTTCCAGTCAAGTGCAGTGGCTCACACCTGTAATCCAACACTTTGGGAGGCTGTGGGAGGACTGCTTGACCCTAGGAGTTCAAGACCAGCCTGGGCAACATAGGAAGACCCCTATATCTAAAAACAAATTAAAATTAGCCTGGCATATTAGTGAATACTATAGTTTCAACTACTCAGGAGGTTGATATAGGAGGATCTGCTTGAGCCCAGGAGGTTGAAGCTACAGTGAGCTGTAACTGTGTTATTGCTCTACAGCTTGTGCAACAGCATGAGACCTTGTCTCAAACAAAATAAAACCCAAATTCTTTCCAACCTTGTGGTCATTTCCTCAGTGGAATGATTTCAGTGTATATAAGTACAAGTAAGGTCAATTTGTTGTATTGGTTTTAAAGCTATCTGTTGCACCCCTATTATTCACATAGATTGCCCTCCAGATTGTTTATGACAAATCTTCCGTTGCCTAAAATTGAGCCGGGACATAGCTATAAGTTCTAACTGGTCCTGATTGTGCTACTATTCAAATGGATGTTCTTGAATAGGTCACTTAATCATTCTGGGTGTCTTAATTTCTTCATCTATAAAACAGGATAATTGGAGTAGTCCATCTAACTTCCTGATCTCTTTAACTTAAAATTCCAGTATTGCATCCTACCTTTTATGCATCTTAACATCTACCAAATGAAATTTTTTCTTTGAAATAAGAGTCTTGCTCTGTCACCCAGACTGGAGTGAAGTGACGCAATCTTGACTCACTGTAACCCCACGTCCCGTGTTCAAGCAATTCTTGTGTCTCAGCTTCCCAAGTGGCTGGGATTACAAGTGTGTGCCATCACACCTGGCTAATTTTTGTATTTTTAGTAGAGATGGGGTTCCACCATATTGGCCAGGCTACTCATGAACTCTTGACCTCAAGTGATCAGCCCACCTTGGCCTCCCAAAGTACTGGGATTACAGGCGTGAGCCACTGCTCCCAACCCCAGATGAATTATTTTTCAATATTTCTATTCTTTTTAAATCGCTACCTCTACAATAAAAATATCACCATTTCCTAAAAGATCACATGAATAAGCCATGATTGACTGAAAGGTTCACATACACCATATCCTGAAACATTTGGCCAATAAAAGTGGAACTGAGAAAATCAAGTAAATATTGGCTGAAAGACTATGCTGAATTTCACTTTTATATTTCACAATTTAAAATATTAGTGTTAAAATGTATTAGCGTCAAAAGCAAAAACCACTAAACCATAACCATGTGGCAAATACGAACTAAAAAGGTATTGATTTTCAAAATTTTAGTTTATTAGAAATAGATTCTAAGACACATGGAATATATAATTTCAGGGGCAAAAGGGAATGAACAAATCAGTTTGCTTACATATAATTCTTTTACTTTGACATAAAAAATTATGTCTTTACCTATAATTATCTTACATATAATAACTAACAGTTGTTTTATAATCACTTACCACTCTTATAAATTCAAACAACTCAATAACAGCTGAATTTAACAGATTGTACCGAGTTCCATTATCCAGAAGCGCATTTATAACCGGCTCAAAAAGATTTCCCTTGGTGATGTAACGATTATAAAATTCATCTTTAAGTCCAATTATCCGCCTCATAAAGCGAAGAGCACCTAATTAAAATAATACAGGGAATAAGTTAATGATCTTACTAAAATCCATTATTGTACAGGTGTTTTTCCACCATAAAGCAACGTGTATGTTCTTCTAAAATGAAAAGTAAAACTGTTCATAAAGTAAAAAGTAAATTATTCTAAAAATAAATGTAAAACTGTCCAATAAAACTGGACTTTGAGGAAAATAGAGCTGGAGAGGACCTTTCAAAACTGTAAAACTTTGTAGCCAGAACTAACAACAACAACAACAACAACAAAAAAAAACACAAAAAAAACCAGTAATTGGAACCTAGGAGATAAACTACCCAGGCAGGTAGCTCTATGACAGAGATTTAGAAATATGCAAAATCCACAGACTGCAAATGCTAGCAGTACTTAGAGCAGTGCTGGTGGATGGCTGAGACAACACAGCTCAGAATCAGTGGGGATACTGTCATTAAGATGGGCACAGGAGTGGGCAACCTGCTATGAGCCAAGATTGCCTTGACTCTCTGAGGGAGGGAGCTTTAGAACAAAATGCTTCTTTTGATTTTCTGAAAATACCGCTAAAGAAGCTCCTGATACCATATGCCAATCACATAACAGAAGATCTAAAGCTTTTTACTTCTCTGATGAAGGCTATATCCATTCACACTATTCTACTTCTCTATGTCTTAAAGAAAAACTTGTGAACCAACACCATCTTTATATTATAATGACATCATTCTCTTATGTACCAATTGCTTACAAGCTATTTTACCTAGCTAAAGATGCACTGTGGCAGATCAGACTGTATTTGTTAAAGAAAAACAGAGTAATGAATAAGAGGTACAACTTCAACTTGACTTTTCACATTTTAGAATACTAAGAAGAAATCTCCTTTTTAACTAGTCTTTTCCCTAGCTACATAAAGCTTACTAAATTTAGCAATATTACTGAGAAAGGTCTTATGGAACAGAGAGGACTATAATTTTAATCCTTTATTTTTATATGTGTTGATCCTTTAACTTGCATCTTTTCCCCAGTAGTTTAATTTATTCTACAGATACCAGTAGCCAAATCTTCAAAACACAAGGCTTCTGACTGTATAAGTCATTTCTCATTCCATTAGATGAAACTCATGAAATAAAGAAGTTGTGCCTGTCACAAGAGGTTCTACACATTATCTGAGAATAAAACAGAAATAGGCCACATAAGGTATAAATTTAACACCAAACAAGTGTGGGGAGAAGCATTAGACTTGCAACCTCACCTCTCTTTGTGGCAGGATAAGAAATGGTTTACTTAAGATGAAAAAGACTGAAGCACTGGCAAGTGTGTGAGCAAATAGGCACACGTACACAATGCCGGTAAATGAACTGACATGTATACAAAGCTATAGTTACAAGAGCACTGCTTATAATAATAGAAATCCTGAAACAATATAAACATTTAAATATTAGAAATTCTGGCCGGGTGCGGTGGTTCACGCCTGTAATCCCAGCGCTTTGGGAGGCCAAGGCGGGCGGATCACAAGGTCAGGAGTTCAAGACCAGCTTAACCAACATGGTGAAACCCCATCTCTACTATAAATACAAATATTAGCCAGTCCTGGTGGCAGCTGTAATTCCAGCTACTCGAGAGGCTGAGGCAGGAGGATTACTTGAACCCAGGAAGCAGAAGTCACAGTGAGCCAAGACCATGTCACTGCACTCCAGCCTGGGCAACAGAGCAAGACTCCACCTCAAAAATAAATAAATAAATAAAAATAAAAATAAATTGGAAATTCATTCAATTACATGTTCATACTAGAGGGAGTACTCTGTAGTCATCAAAAAGTACTATTTATAGAGAGCCAAATGGGAAAATCTGTCTTAAGAACATCAATGTTTCCAAAATTAATAAAAAACACAATGTAATTCCAATCAAAATGAGCTGGATATAATCATTTAGTTATTATGAAGGAGAAAATGTCCAATAACAACTAAGAAAAGTATGAAAAAGGAAAGTGAAAGGGGACTCAGTAGGTATTAAACCTTAAAAACAGAAACACTATAATGCCTGGCATAATATAATAAACACTGTTTTTTTGTTATTTTTTTTTTTTTTTGAGACAGAGTCTTGCTCTGTCTTTCAGGCTGGAGTGCAGTGTTGCGATCTCAGCTCACGGCAACCTCTGTCTCCTAGGTTCAAGTGATTCTCCTGCCTCAGCTTCCTGAGTAGCTGCGATTACAGGCATATACCACCACGCCTGGATAATTTTTGTATTTTTAGCAGACAGGGTTTCCTCATGTTGCCCAGGTTGCTCTCGAACACCTGACCTCAGGTGATCCACCCACCTCAGCCTCCCAAAGTGCTGGGATTACAGGCATGAGCCACCGTGCCTGGCCAACAATGGTATTATTTCATTTGGTGAAATTAAATGACAGTCCAGAAATAAAACAAAAGTACATATGTATGTTAACTTACTGTATAACAAAAATGATATTTCAATTCAGAAGGAAAGAGGAAACGTATAGTAGTCTCAATACACATGCTGATTAAGACTGATACCATTGGCTATATATCTAGAAAACACTCATTTCAAATACTCTCATTTCAAAACATATGCAAAAACAATTTCACATGTTACATATATAAATATAAAAAAGAAAGTGAGAATATCTGTATAATCTTAGGACACAGACTTTTCTAAGCAAAACAAAAAATCCAAGAGTCATAAAAGGAAAAGAAAGAAATCTGTGTCGTAACAAGGACATTTTCAAGTTATTTGGAAAACAATACTATAAATAAAGCCAAAGACAAGACAATGAAGATGTACATTTTCTCTCCAAAACATGATAAATTGTTAATATCTCTACTATACAAAGAGCTCTAAGAAAAAGATAACTGGTAATTCACAACAGATAAAAATGCAAATTATACTAATATATGAAAAGACGCTGTCAGGGAAAATGCAAATTAGAAAAAAAATGAAATATCACATTTTCCATTATCAGACTGGTAACATTTTAAAAAAAGGAGTAACACTGAATGCTGGGAGAATGTCAAAATGTTTCAATTTGCGGGGAAGTAATCTAGAAGCTATGTGGCAAATTAAATGGATACATTAAAAAAAGGATAAAACATTTTATCTTTGCAATCTCGTTATTGAGAATCTATTCTTTAGAAAGAAATAAATCAGTACTGAAAAGATTTATGTACCAGACTATTTACCACAGTATAGTTTGGAGTAGCAAAAAAAGCAAAAACAATCCTGTAAGTTATCCACTGGAGAATGGCAGAAGAATCTGTGGGAGAACCATACTATAAAATCTTACTCAGCTATCTCCAGGAATAAACTTAGTCTCCATGATACTGAATAAGCTAGAGTAGTATTAGGGGGCTGATAAATGTGTTGGTATGATCCTGTTTGGTAAAAATAAAAAACAAAAAAAATCCTCTATACATGTGATTATGTTTATTATATAAATTGGTACAAGCATAAAAAAAGAAATAATGCAGACAGTTAATACTAGCTATTTTAAGTCCACAAACATAAAGATTAGGGAGATTAATATTTTCTCAATACATTAAATTAAATGTCTATATTTAAACTATAATCTTTATGGTTAGAATAACACCACAAAGTAATTTTCATCTGGAGAGAGGATGTTTCTCTGTTTGCAGGTGAAATTTTCAAAGTGAAAGAAAGTTTATAGTCTGCTAAAAATCAACATTGAATATCAGGATAATTATAAAGAATGACCACTAAATGACAGTTTTATGAAGTAGATATAAAAAAACAGCAGGCCTGGTTCTGTTAGTAAAATGGTGTCACTGCACATGGTATTGTATCACAACAAAAGACAGGCTCACTGAATTAAATGTGAGCAATATGTGGGTGGGGAAATCACTACAACCTAGTCCTCTTGCCCTTTAAGTAAGAATGAAAACGTAGGACTTAATCATCTAATTAACAGAATATACACTGCTAATAAATAATAAGTAACTTCAAATGGGTAACTTCAGCTTTATCTCTATTAAAAATGTTGCTTTTTAAACATTTTATACTTACACAAGGCCAGAAAAGTGTGCTTTGAATTCATCAAGACCAAAACTCTTCTTAGCAAGTCCTTGTTCATAATATAGTTTTTTATGTGATATGTATGATGTTCCACACAAAATGTGAGTAACTCTAAAATTAAGGCAAGTAGCTGTGCTGTTTGATAATTATCTACAAAAGAAAGTAATCTCATGAAAATAAACACTGAATATATCTAAATAAAGAATAAATAAAGCTTACATCCTATATTTTGCAACAAAATCTAAATTGTAATTCCTTTTTTTTTTTGAGACAAGGTCTCACTCTGTCACCCAGTTTGGAGTGTGGTGGCATAATCATGGCTCATTGCAGCTTCTACCTCCCAGGCTCAAGTGATCTTTCCACCTCAGCTTTCAGAGTAGCTGGAACTATAAATGCATGCCGCCATGCTAACTAATATTTTTTTTTCAAATTTTTGTAGAGATAGGGCCTCACTATGTTGTGCAGACTGGTCTCAAACTCCAGGGCTCAAGAGATCCTCCCACTTGGCCTCCCAAAGTACTGGGATTATAAGTATAAGCCACTGTGCCTGGCCTATTTTCTCCATTTTTATATCCATTAAAAAGGCTACAGATTTTTAATTTTTCATTAGCCAGACTCTCCAGAAGCACATTAATAGTTTTACCTACTAGATAACTTTCTAAGATTCATATCTGCATAAAATACAATAACAATCCATGAACATGATAACAACTTGATGGCACTGAGGTATTCTTTATTAATATTAATAAATCTATAAAAGGGCCCATGGTTAAAAAAATACTTAAAACTTTTAGCCTAAAGTGGCTCAATGCAAATTTCCCTCCAAAAATTATTTAAAGACAGTTTAAGAAAAGGGTATGTTTGGCTGTTTGAACATCAAATGAAAAATATTACATCAAGATTCTTAAACATAATATAATTTTATAAACAACTTTTAAAATATCAACTCATGATATCTACAGAGAGGGATCTACTGAATAAACTTGCATTTTTTCTTTCCCTGAGACTTCGCTTTATACATTCAAGAAATAATTTTGAACTGGTTCCTAAACATCAAATTTTAATTTATGTCAAAGGCCTATATGGACAATCACACATCCCTATTATTAGTGCTTTAAACAAGAACATATTTTCTTGTTGTTGTTTGAGACAGGGTGTCGTCACTCTGTCACCTAGGCTGGAGTGCACTGGTGCAATTTCAGCTCACTACATCCTCAACCTCCCAGACTCAAATGATCCTACCACCTCAGCCTCCCTAGTAGCTGGGACCACAGGGGGCGTACCACCATGCCCAGTTTATTTTTTGTAGAGATGATGTCTCACTATGTTGCCCAGGCTGGTTTCTAACTCCTGGGCTCAAGTAATCCTCCTGCCTCGGCCTCCCAAAGTGCTGAGGTTACAGGTGTGAGCCACTACACTTGGCTAGGAAAGGAAATATTAAGCTGTGAGGAAATTATAAAATCACAGTCTTACAGAATTTTTTTAAAAATGACATCATCTAGTACAACTATTTTATTTACTTGAGATTATATACATAAATATCCTGTGGAACTACGATGCTATCAGGAATAAATTAGCATGACTTCTAATACCAGAATGACCATCACATATAAATACACAAAAGAAAGTTCTCGTATTTCAAGGATTATTTCCACTTTAAATGCAAGTAAAGAGTTTTCCTTCCTCCAGACCAATTTCTATGACAGCCACTACAACAGCCAAAATTTGAACTAGTCCCTCACCATTGAAAGCAATTCCTGGCCAGGCACGGTGGCTCACGCCTATAATCTCAGCACTTCGGGAGGCGGAGGCTGGTGGATCACCTGAGGTCAGGAGTTTGAGACCAGTTTGGCCAAAATGGTGAAACCCTGTCTCTGCTAAAAATATAAAAGTTAGCTGGGTGTAGTGGCAAGCACCTATAATCCCAGCTACTCGGAAGGCAGCAGCAGGAGAATCACTTGAACCTGGGAGGCGGAGGTTGCAGTGAGCTGAGATCGCACCACTGTACTCTAGCCTGGATGACAGAGCAAGACTCCGTCTCAAAAAAAAAAAAAAAAAAAAAAAGCAATTCTTCTTTATTTTTCAACTCTCCAATTTTATTAACAAAAGACTTTTTAACCTTGACATTCACAAATGTCTGGATTTTTTGTTTGTTTGTATTTGAGATGGAGTTTCGCTCTTGTTGCCCAAGCTGGAATGCAATAGCGTGATCTCAGCTCACTGCAACCTCTGCCTCATGGGTTCAAGTGATTCTCCTGCCTCAGCCTCCGGGAGTAGCTGGGATTGCGGGCATGCACCACCACGCCCAGCTAATTTCCTGACCTCAGGGGATCCACCTGCCCAGCCTTAAACAAATGTCTTGTCTTCATCTTTATAACTGGGACAAGAAATTACTTATATCTCTAAACAGTCCAATCTCCAAACAGCCTCCTTACTTGAAACTGGCTCCCCTTTGAGACTTGATGAGGTTGGTAGAAAGGGTATGGGATGGTAGGTGCACACAGCACGTCTTTATTAGTATCAAGCTCATACTTGGTATGCCTATTCTAAGTAGAAACAACTGCTTTTAGTCTCAGATTCATGAACAATAAGCATAAAATGGTCATGAAAATTAGTTGCAAACTAACTAGTCTTGGTTTACTACATTTCAAAAATAAGAGTTACATCCTCGACTTTCAGACAATGCGTTTTCCTCATAACAATGTCAGAAAACAAGCTATAAATTTTCAGAAAAAAAATTCCAACTCATTTTTCATTTTTAATATTGGAGATAGTGGAATTTTTTCTTTACAATAAAGACAAAAGTAAATTTGTTCTTGCATTTCATTTTTATGCCAAAATATGCTTTTCTTAGCCTTATATAAAGCATTACACTTAGAGTAAAAAAAAGTTTATAATTTGTATGTATTCATAAAGTATGAATTTATACTTACCGGGACAAATTGTGTTGTTTTTGTTTGATCCAACTATATTATCTAATAAAAAAATTAAAAATTAAAATCAAATACTTCAGTAATATTTCACGTTTCCCTAGCACTTTATAATATACAATGTATGTCTTCAATCATAATCTCCTTTACCCTCAAAATAACTGTTAAGACTTGGTTGCTTCAGTAAAATTATAACTATATCTGCAATCTTTTACAAAAGTGGTTGTAGATGTGGAATTAAAAGACAACATAGTATAAATATTCTGATAAAAGGAAGATTACAACCAGAGATAAAACTGACATATCTTCTTTTATCTTCTCCTATTCATCACTCAACAATTAGGACATTTCTCTTCATTTCATTTTTTTTTATTCTTAATTTTTTAAAATAACATTTGCATTTCATCATCCTTTACGCATCTCATTTTTAAAAACAGAAAATATAGAAATTTTTTTAAACTCCAGAATAATAAGTATGTTTATGTTTCAAGTTTTTTTAAAAACTAAATTAAGTAGGCCATTATCAATAAGTTCCAATTTCTAGGCATACATTCCAGAGCACATCAAGGCACATGTGCATAGGGAAACACAAGAATGTAACTGGAGCATTATCTGTAATAGCAAAAAGCTAGAAACAAATGCACATTAGAGGCAGAATGGCTCAATTACAGCATACTCATATATAGGGGTTAAAAATAAATAACTCTATTTCAATATGAATTAGATCAATATGAACAGGTATTAATATGAATAGATCTCAAAAATAACATTGGATAAAAAATATGCAGCATAGTATGTATGAGACATTAAATTTATAGCAACTTTAAAAATATGAAAAATAATACCATATATACACATCATAATAACATAAGCAAATACAGGAGTGATAAACTCCAAATTCAGCATACCTTGAGAGATGGAGGAAGAGGGGGTAGAATGGGAATGGGAATGTGAAGGGGTACATACGAAACTCCAACTATATCTGTAATGTTTTAAAAAAAAATCTGAAAAAAAATACGTCAAGTTAGTTTTGATAAAGCCAACAGGGAGTATATGAGTGTCTGTTATACTATTATCTATACATTTCTGTAGGCTGGAAATGTTTTGTTAAAATGAACATAAAAAATGCATTATTTTAATTTACATAAATGGAACCATTCTTCAAGAAAACCCTCTGTGATGTGCTTTTGTACCCATTCACCTTGATATTTTTGGGAATTATTCAGTTGACACATCAAAATTCAATTATTTTAACTGCTATATGGTATTCCATTATATGAAAAATATACATTTTATTCATTTTCCTACCACAAACAATGCAGCAACATTCTTGTACCTGTCATGCATATGCACAAACATTCCGTAGAGTATATACTCAGAAATGGAACTAATAATATTACATAGGGTATGCCCATGTTTCAACTTTATTAGTTTCATGAACATTCTCCTAACTAACCTCCTCTTAAGTGATTCTTCTGGTTAACAAATATTCTCAGATAGTGGCTAATGTTCTATTATGCCCCACATATTTCTGATTTCACTAATTAAGTTGTATGTTCATCAAAGTCCTTTGCTTATGCTAGTATGTATTATAGTCATATGATAACATAATTTAAATACTGCAGATTGATGAAATCTAAGAGAACTGTAGTATCTATGGCTAAGTTGAATACAGTAGAACTCAATTTAAAAATTGCCTCCAGATTAGATATATGCAACTATGAATACCTAGAGGGATATACTAAAGCCCTAAGATTATGCACTCAGACTTCTTCAAAAGTATTTTTAGACTTTCATTCCATTTTAATAAACTGTAAACAAATTGCAGCTGATGAATTATGGGTGCCAAATATGGAAATGCAATTTTTAAAAATACTAATGAAAAAGTCTTGCCCCTATATATTAGCATATATTGGCATATTAATGTGCATTTGGAGGCTAAATTAAAATATTTATACTATTTGCTCCTACTCATTCTAGATATCAACTCTAACAAATTTGGGGACAATGCCTTTTTGATGTCTACATCTTAATGCCTTAGTCTGTAATACTGTTTGCCACATTTCCTTTTTTTTTCTGCCAGTGGTCTATACATTCAGAGAAACTTCTGTAGTAACAAACTATAGAAATGACCTCTGAAAGAATAGTCTTGCTATGTTTTATCATTCACTTCCATAACCCTAAGAAACAAGAAAATCAGCCAGGTGTGTTGGCTCATGCCTGTAATCCCAGCATTTTGGGAGGCTAAGGCCGGTGGATCACGAGGTCAGGAGGTCACGACCATTCTGGCTAACAAAGTGAAATCCCGTCTCTACTAAAAATACAAAAAGTGGGTGGTAGCATGTGCCTGTAATCCCAGGTACTTGGGAAGCTGAGGCAGGAGAATTGCTTGAACCCAGGAGGTGGAGGTTAAGTGATCTGAGATCGCACCATTGTACTCCACCTTGGGTGACAGAGAGAGACTCTGTCTCAAAAAAAAAAAAAAAAAAAAAAATCATAATTTTATATTGCAGTTTAAGTTTTTCAATTGTAATTTCCCTGTCATAAAAGTCTCAAGGAAATTACCTGTTAGTTTTCATATTTATCTCATCCTTCTTTAAAAACAGAAATCATAGCAGATAAGTAAGAGACCCTACCCTTTGCACATTTGTCTTCTGAAGTATTGGTCAAAAGTGGTGCTGTGAGAACATGCATACAATGGTTGTAGAAAAAATTTAGAAATTCACTTTTTTCAGTTTTCTGAAACAGAATTTTTAAAAGAATAGTGTTACTTTTGTAAATAAAAACATCTTCAAGAATTAGCAGTATATACCTTTTCCAGAACAAAAACAAAACAAAAAGAATTAGCAGTACAGATCATACATAAGCAAATACTTTAAGATACTGTGAAAAAAATCAAGAACTAAGTTATATACTGTGAAAGAACCAAAAATTAACTATATTCACTTTAATCTTGTATCTGTGGAACTAAAAATTAAATCTACATCATATTACACGACAAGTAAAAATGAATGCAAAATAAAGATCAGATAGCATCACAAAATGTTTTTCTGAAGAAAATTATTCAAAAAATTTTTTAAAGATGCCTGTGATATGAATATGAAGTGCAATGAAGAACCAATCTATTGTACAACATATTACTAACAATTTCTTACACTTGCAAACTGCTAAGAGAGATTTTAAGTGTTCTCGACACAAATAAATACTTGAAGTAAAACACACACAAAATAAACAACATGTAAGTCAGAACAGCATGCACCATAATCACTGTTGATCCATTTGTCTCTTTCTGTGTGCAGTGTATTTTTTTCCCAAGAATGTAACGAAGGAAGAAAATTCTCTCAACTTTAAAAATAACAACATTCAAATGTGGGAAAAAGGCACATTTGAACCTGTTTTGGAAGAATAAAAATTTTTAGAAAGCAAAAGAACCAGTTAAGCCCATGTGATAGCAACTTAACTACTTAAAATTTGGAACCCCAGATTTCACCATCTCTATGCAAATTTGAAAAACCACTGAATCACTTTATCAAGTCACTAGATGAAGAGACAACATTTAAATCAATTTTTAACATTTTAAAAGTTTATAATTTGGAAAACAATGTCTTTGGAATTTGCCACTTTTTTTTACACAATTAGGCATACAAACTTGTAATGATTTAAAAACAATGTACATATTATCTAAAGATGAGGAAATCTTATAAAGAAAAATATTCCTCCATATTGAGAGAATGACTATTAATATTCCGGAGTGTCTAATCCTTAAGTATTAAGGAGTTAATCCTTAAATCTTTTAACATGTCTTATGCAATTGAGTTCAGTATATTTAAATTTTTCCTTTGTGATAAAAACCACATAAAACTTACTATTTAAAAATTTATCATTTTTAAGTATACAGTTCAGTAGTGTTAAGTATATTCACAATGTTGTGTATTAAAGAAATTAACACATAGAGGTCAAGGGCCATAAATGGTATTCCTAACATTTTACTAAGATTTTAACAATTACAATTTTGTATTTTGCCACAAATAAATTGCTACAAGAATACCACTGCTACTTAAATACCAACTAGACAAATACTTAAAATACTTGTTCCTCAAAATTTTATTAAAAAGCTACCTAAAACTGACTAGGCCAAAACATTTTATCTCAGAATAATTTCTTACATTAGTTGTGGCCAGCATGTTCTCTGGATCAATTAAAGTACGAAGAAGTCCCATTAACTGAACAGCGCCTCCTAGCTCAGGATCAGTATCACAGATCATTTGTTCAATTACCACATTAATAAGAAGAATATCCTGGTAACAAAACAAAACAAAACAAAACAAAACAAAATATGTTTCCATTAGTCCTGGTTTAGATCTAAGACAAAACACTAACTGAAAGAGCAAAATGAGAATCATATTGAGAAAAAGCAAAGAATGGGAAAGCTTATTTAAACTTTTATTTCTAATGCTTTTGAAAGTTCTAGAAACATACTACATACTAGAGTGAAAAAAAACCCACTCCAAAAAAAAAAAAAAGAAGAAAAAAACAAAAACAGAGAATGCTGCAGCTTATAGAAAAGGAAAAACAAAATTCTTTAGCATTAATTCTTTTTCAGTGGAGATTCTAACAGTTTCTCATTTTGGGTCTCAGACTTTGGCATAAATTTAGAGGTTGACTAAACAAGCAAGATCATGGGAACATAAGACATAAATTATGTCAGCCTCTAATTAGAAAATCCTTCCAAGCCAAAAAAAAAAAAAAAATGACCAAAAATAACCCAGTACACAACTCTTCATGCAAGTGAACACCATGTTATATAACGATCTAATATTAAATAGATACGTTGTTACATTAGTAACATGCTCTTGTGTTTTATTTATTTATTTATTTAATTTGCTTATTGAGAGGGAGTCTCATTCTGTTGCCCAGGCTGGAGTGCAGCAGTGCAATCTGGGCTCACTGCAACCTCACTGCAAATGAGTCTCCTGCCTCAGCCTCTAGAGTAGCTGGGATTACAGGCGTAAGCCACCATGCCTGGCTAATTTTCATATTTTTAGTAGAGACTGTCCTGATTCTAAGCTGGCATCCCTATTTTCTGATTAGAAAAGATAAAGAAAATCGTTTGTTTCATTGATTCTAAAACAGATTTCTTAAAAATTTTAACCTCTTAAAATTAAGATACATTTTGTAATTGATGGCATTTGATAGTCACTATCAGTGAAGTGGTAATCATGACAAAATTACATAACAATCTACTGACAATGTCTGGTAAGATCAAGAAAATATTAGCATCTGCAAATCTTAGGTTTGATAGATACAGTAAATAAGAGGAGAAAAGAAGAAATGGCAAGAGCAAGAATATTTGAATTGGTAGAGTAAAAATAATTGGTGGATATTGTAAAAACATTTGCAGTTTGCTTAATACAAACACAAGAATTTAATAAACAGTCCATTAATTGGCTGGGTGCGGTGGCTCACGCCTGTAATCTCAACACTTTGGGAGGCGAAGGCAGACGGATCACCTGAGGTCTGGAGTTCAAGATCAGCCTGGCCAACATGGCAAAACCTTGTTTCTACTAAAATACAAAAAAATTAGCTAGGTGCGGTAGCTGACACCTGTAATCCCAGCAGCTTGGAAGGCTGAGGCAGGGAGAACTGCTTGAACCCAGGAGGCGGAGGTTGCAGTGAGCCGAGATCACATCACTGCACTCCAGCCTTCTGAGAGCGGGACTCTGTCTCAAAAAAAAAAAGCTACTGACAAAATTTGCTTTACAGCAACTTAAATGAATGCTTCTAAGTACATGTGTGTGTATGTAAGAAATAGAGTTGGCCCTCTGTATCTGTAGGTTCTATATTCACGGATTAAACCAAGTGACAATGAAAAATACTTGGGAAAGGAAAAAAAAAAGAGAATGGTTGTATTCATACTGAAACATGTACAGACTTTTTTCTTTTATTATTCTTATTCTCTAAATAGTATTCTCTAAACAATACAGTATAACAACTATTTATAGCATTTGCATTATATCTGTATTATAATGTAAAATAAAAAGGAAGATTTGCATAGGTTATATGCAAATTCTATGCCATTTTATATAAGGCACTTGAGCATAATTGGAATTTGGTAACCTTATGTCCCAGTGGGAGGGGAAGGTGGTTTCCTGGAACCCACCCCTCACAGAAACTGAGGGATGAGTATATATAGCATATACATACACACACACACACACACACACACACACACACACACATCAATACTTCTTTCAACTCATTCTGATATATTTGAAGAGTGAAATGTAAGTAGCTCCTCAAATTCTACAGAACATAATGCTCAAACTTCTTAAGTCTGTGTAATAACAAACAGCCTGGACAGAGAAAACGAAAGCTCAATCTCTTTTGATTTTTTTGAGTGGGGTCTTGCTATGTTGCCCATGCTGGTTTTGAACTCCTGGGCTCAAGAGATCCTCCCACCTCATCCTGAAAAGTAGCTGGGATTACAGGCATGCACCACCACCACATCTGCACATTCATTTTTAAAAGTTAGGGGGACCAGCACCACAACCCGTACATTCATTTTTAAAAGTTGGGGAGATTTCTTGATGTGACATACTAAAGGAAATATTACTTCAATGCCATACCTGCCACAAAGAAGTAACTAGAACTAATTGTGAGGAAACAACAGACCAACCAAAGTTGTTGGATAATGGACCAGAAACTTTTTGTTTTTGTCTTGGTTAAAATGAACATTACTGGGACAAAGAATAAAATATGAATGAGTACTGTAGTCAGATGTTAGTATTACAAAAATCTTAGTATCATGATTTTGATAATTATACTGTGATAATGTAAGAGTTTTTAGCTGGTGGAAACTGAAGTAACTAGGGGTAAAGGGACATATTGTCATCATTCCTGTACCGATTTCTCAATGGTTCAGAAAGAAAATCATACATGCCTATGTATGCATGTGTATAAATACACATGCAAACATAGAAGGAAGGATAAGATGAACGACAGATAAAACGTTAACATTTGGGGAATTTGTGTGAAGGTATTTGGAGTTCTTTTTATTATTATTATGACTTGGAGAAATTTTAAGAAACTTGGAGATTAATAAAAGGTGATTTGATACCTTTTATTAAATACTGAACAGTCAATCCATAGAGATTAGCTTATGTATTTCCTAACTTCTTATGATAAATCTCAGCTATATAAAGAACTAGAGAGAACATAATAAATCCCGTGTATCCATCACCCAGCTTCAATAACTATTAACTCACAGCCAATCTTGTCTAATACACCAACTTAACTCTACCTTCCAGAATTTATTTTGAAGCAAATTCAATATAAATATTTCAGCATAAATCTTTAAAGTACAAGGATTCTTCTAAAGTAACATCATGTTATTATCATATCTAAAAAATTAACACAAGATTTCATTCTTTAAATGAGAAAATAAGTAACTGTATTACTTATCCAGTTGGGTTCTATAAGTTTTACTGAATGTTTCAAAGGCCATTAATATAAAAATAAGTGCAATCTGTGGCATAACAAAAAGACAGCATTACTGCGAAATTGACCCTTTCTGCTTGGATAGAAACAATAACTATAGAAAAAAATGTTAATAATTATTTTTATCTTAATACATATTTGAATCATGTAATCCATGTTGCCGAAACCAAATCTACTCCATAATACCTTAACAGAAGGAAATGTATGAATGCTGAGCATTTATTTTAAAAGGGCACCAAAACATCAACTGCCACTGAATATACTGCTAAGTTATTTTCTGTTTCCTTCCTAAAGGTCACCACCAACCCAATATAGAATTCAGCATGTAGAAGACTTAATTGGGATTTTTAAAATTAAATTTCTCTTCTGTTGTGGACTAAATTATTTTGAGGCAACACAGTTTTAAAACTGTAAAACTGTTAGCTCTCAGAAAATTCAGGAAAATGAAACCCCTTGAAGGTTGTTATAAGAAAAAGAAACATTGAGAAAGGCACTTCCATAGTGAAAAAAATCAATCACTGCTTTTCTAAGTCTTAAGCATCAATTAAACAAGAAATATTTCTGATTAAAACAGGAATCAAAGCTTGAAGAGTTAAGAATTCTGAAAGTTAACAGTTGACTGAAGTCATAGTCTGAGATTGATTCACGGTAATTTTATGATAAATGCCTTTAATCACACACATCACTGAAGACTAAGCAATAGGGGTGTTAATTTCAAAGTTATATTTTGTAAAGTGTGGCATTAAGATAGACTACTGAGATTATAAAATGATTAATAAAGTAGGCATTTTTCTTTAAAGTCAGAATTAGCATCATTTGATTTTTAAAATATATGTATATATTGAACACAAAATATTATTTCTCTTCTGATTATACTATAGCATTAACCCAAGTTGATTCTAAAATAAAATCAATTTAAAAAACACTGAGAATAACTAACAAACATAGAAAGTATAAATCTAAGGACACATTACAAGATTAAACACAAAACACATAAAACAACTGTAATTTAATTCAACAGTAACCCACGCAAGCATCAAATTAAAATTGGGAATCAAAAACTTTCCTTAAGAAGAGGTCCAGGCATGGTGGCTCATGCCTGTCATCCTAGGGCTTTGGGAGGTTGAGGCAGGTGGATCACCTGAGGTCAGGAGTTTGAGATCACCCTGACCAACATGGTAAAACCTTGCCTCTACTAAAAATACACAATTAGCTGGGCATGGTGGCACACGGAAGTTGCAGTGAGTCAAGAAAAGTGAATCTCTGCCTCAAAAAAAAAGAAGGAAGATAATTATATTTTAATTATCCTCTACTTAAAATTAAGGCATTTTTAATATAAAAAAAGGAATACTTTAAATTACAGCTATATTTTCATTCTGTCCTTAAAATAGCTTAAGGGGAAAGTTTAAATATATCAGTAGTGGAAAAACACAATATGGGTCTCATTATTAAACTTAAAAAAATTTTTTTTTTTTTAATTTCCAAAGGTTGTTGGGTAACAGGTGGTGTTTGGTTACATGTGTAAGTTCTTTAGTGACAACTTTTGAGATTTTGGTGCACCCATCACCCAAGCAGTGTACTCTGCACCCTATTTGTAGTCTTTTATTCCTCACCCCCTTACCACCCTTTCCCCGAGTCCCCAAAGTCCACTGTGTATTCTTATGCCTATGCATTCTCATAGCTTAGCTCCCACTTATGAGTGAGAACATACAGTGTTTGGTTTTCCATTCCTGAGTTACTTCACCTAGAAAAACAGTCTCCAATCTCATCCAGTCATTATTAAACTTTCAATCCTACTTTAAAATTTTTTGAACAAATAAAAGCAACTTTTTAGTTATCCCAGGTAAGCACCTGACCTGTAAATCTCCCAAGGCTTGAAATTACATTTCATTAACACTTGAAATTTAAGACTAGTATTTACAAATCTGATTCTATTATAATCTATTTATCTCAATATTAGTTTGAATTTTTTTTAACAATAAACAAAATAAAATACTACATATTCTAATTTACCCAAAGTCACAATTAATCAGAAATCTATGGCTCCCAAGAAAGATTAAGATTGTGTTGTTTTTTCTCTCAATAGTTTGCCAACACTGCTCTACAGATAATTCACATAGAAATCCACCATTATTACTTACGTCATCACTCTGCTGAGCTTCTTGCATTACAAACTCGCGGACCATAGATGGACTAAATTCTACTAGATAAGAAAATATATCTGTAGCAGCTGATCTGACTTGCAAATCATCCATGCCCTGATAAAAGAAAACTAAGTTACTTAGAGACTGTTAACAAAAGTTATTCTTGCATTTCCCTTTTCTTTTCCAAGTCCATACACTAGCTCTCAACTTTTTGGATTAAGATGTACTGCAATCAATATGTATAACCTCAGCAGCATTTTCTTCCTTTCTTTTTACAAATATTAAAACGTATAGGCAATTCAATGATTAGTTTCTGCTGATTTTTACCATAGCAAATAAATATTCCAAGAATTTAAACATAAGAATTGGCAGGGCCGGGCGCGGTGGCTCAAGCCTATAATCCCAGCACTTTGGGAGGCCGAGGTGGGTGGATCACGAGGTCAAGAGATCGAGACCATCCTGGTCAACAAGGTGAAAACCCCCTCTCTACTAAAAATACAAAAAATTAGCTGGGCATAGTGGTGCGTGCCTGTAATCCCAGCTACTCGGGAGGCTGAGGCAGGAGAATTGCCTGAACCCAGGAGGCGGAGGTTGTGGTGAGCCGAGATTGTGCCACTGCACTCCAGCCTGGGTAACAAGAGTGAAACTCCATCTCAAAAAAAAAAAAAAAACCGGCAAAGGATTATAAGGCAATGCTTTACAAATGGTGTAAAAAATGTGGGAAGGGGATTTATTTAAACATAGGTAAAAATTTGGATAACGTCTCCTAGCTAAGACTTCAAAGTCTTCAAAGCCTTTTGTCCTGGATTTGCCAGGGTTACTCCTTAGTAACTGATTCTATTTTCTGTCACTCACCTAATGGAGCATACTTTTGAAAACTCTTTTTGGGCACTTCTACCCTTTTCTACAACTTAGTTTTCTAAGGTGGTAATCCTAAATACTTTTCCCCTCTAACACATGAAACATACATGACTTATAAGTTACAAAATCTTGAGGTGATTCTGAAAACACTCCCTGACCAGCAGGGAGTGATCCAGGGAATTCTGGTGAGAGGGGTCTAACACCTAACACTTTTCAGGAAGTGCACAAGATTAAAACTATTTCATAATAATAAACAATACTACTGAGCCTTTGTCATTTTTACTCTCATTCAATCACAAGTACAGTGGGGTTTTCCAGAGGCTGTGTGCATATGATGGCACCACAAATTAAATGTAGAAGCTGCTATATGAATCTAGACACCTTCTATAAAGCAAGGTATCAGAGGGATTAGCAGGAAAAAAAAAGTAAAACAAATGCTATTCTTTTCACTAAATTTTTTTGTTTTGGAAAAATTATTTTTTCATAAAAGTTATATTATTTTCAATCTCAAGGAAATGTGAAAAAAGTTATATTATTTATGTTGACATATAATGGGTTATTTTAAAATCAATACTTTAAAAACTAGTTTTAATTTTCCATAAAGTAAATACCAATGGATAAAACTTATATATTAAAAAAAAGTCTAAGAACCATGCCCTAACCCTGTGCTGCAACATGAATCCCCTTCAGTCTGTCCTCACTACACTCACTGATCTAAAAACAAAAGTTTTACTGGTTTCTATGAAATACACTTAATATTGTTACAGAAAATGTAACAGTCTTGCAAAAACATGTGGAGTTTTTCTTTTTATTCACTTGAAGCCATACTATAAGCAAGTGATTACATACTGATACTACAAATTAAATAAATAAAAACTTGAAACTGAAGGTATTCTTGTAGCAATTCAATAACAGATAAAGCATAGAACTGAACATAGATTACTATAATATATACTTTCCCATCCATAATATAAATCAATTATAATTTACTATTTCAAAAACATGAAAAGAAACAGTATAATTACCATTACAATTTCAAGAGCAGGAAGAATTCCCAATTTTGCCAAAGTTTTGAAAAATGCATCCCTGTTTTGAGGTTGTAATGTCTGAGAAAACGCACAAAATTCCTTGAAAAAATTAACCTGTAATGTTAGAAATCTTAGTGAGAAGTTGATAAACATAAACTTGGGGCACACTATAATAAGAATCTATCATAGTGTAGTATTCACCCTTCTGAAGAATCTCATCTTTTCAGAGTATCCTGGCTCCTCAAAACTACATTAAAAATGTATTAAAAACTAGCACTCCATTAAAAATAAATCTTGCATTACTGGGCACTATTAAGCAAAAAGAGAAATACACTAATAAAGAAAAATGTAATCTGGCTTTCTGAAAGATTCATCCTAAGCTGCTTTTTTTTTCACAGTGAATGGAGGTGTTTGACAACTTATCTTTATAAGTGAATCTTTTAAATATGTGATCAGAACATTTTTCTTACTCCATTGGGCCCTTATAGGACAACAGAGATATCTGGCTATAAAAGGCAAATGAAAGCATGCATGATTTAAGATTCTGGATTTGGCTATTGGCCTATTAGCATGCAAAAATACAAGATATACTTTTAATGGGGTGCTAGTTTTTAATAAGTTTTTAAACGAAGGTTGTGAGGAGCCAGGATACTATGAAAAGATGACATCTGGTGGGCACAGTGGCTCACACCTATAATCCCATCACTTTGGAAGGCTGAGGCAGGCAGGTCACTTGAGTCCAGGAGTTAGAGACCAGGTTGCCCAACAGTGTGAAACCCTGTCTCAACTAAAAATACAAAAATTAGCTGGGCATGGTGGTGCATGCTTGTAATCACAGCTACTTGGCAGGCTGAGGCATGAGAACTGCTTGAACCCAGGAGGCGGAGGTTGCAGTGAGCTGAAATTGCATCACTGCATTCCAGTCTGGGCAACAGAGTGAGACTCTTTCTCAATAAGAACAAAGAAAAAAAGATGAGATCTTTCAGAAGGTTAACACTAACTCTTTAAAGACACTCAGCACAAAAATGCCAGGTAAGAAATTTGTTTTGAATTATAAACACATATTTTCACTAAAACCATCCTATAAATCAACTCTAGCTGAGTTCCCAGTAATCTCTCAAAAACATAATATTGGTTTAAGGACTGAAACATACATCAAAACTTCCCTAATCTAAAACACCAATATTACAATTGAGAATACTAAGTAGGCTACTACTAAGTAACTACACCAAAGATGACTGGTTTTAATCAGCCATTTTTCATTATTTTGTGAAATCCCAAAGAAATAAATAAAGATCTGAAACTGAAGATACTCTTGTAGTTTTTCAGTATCATATAGCTAAATTACAGAATTGAATATACATTACTATAATGTGTACTTTTCCTTCCCATCTCATTATAATGTTTGGAAAATATGACAAACATCTGGCAAACAGCAATCACTATTCTCTTCCTCAAAATGGTTTATATTTCAAAGAAAGTGCTTATAACAAAAAGCAAACAAAAAATTTCCAAAGAACCAAATTACTTACATGATTTATTCAAAAAGCATTTTCCTTACCTCTTTTTTTAAAAAGAAAAGCATCGCTATAATATGAATTTCTGCAACCATAAAAATCTGTGAGTTTTGTACTTCTGTTCTAAATAAGGCAGTGATCTGATCTGGGGATTTATAAGGCATACAATGATGGTGGGTGATACACCAGAACATCCTAAAAATTTTCTAAAATATACAAATTCTAGAAACTCGGAATAATCTTTCATAGTTCAATTCAAATACATACTTTTCATTTCTTACTATCTATAAAAAATTCCCTCAAGTGAGCAAATTCGAGATTAAAAGTTATGCGTGCCAAAAGAATAAGTGCTCTTTAAGAGTTTGAATTTCATGAATAACTTACCAATTCACGCCGTTTATCATCATCTGTAGCCTCATCTGTTAACTGTGCAAAAACTTCAGACAAAAACTTCTCATCTTCCTGCATGAGGAAAATAATTACTATGACATATTAATAAAAGTATAAAGTTATTTATATGACTTACACAATCATAAAAAATAGCTGACAAGTAGCATTTTCATCATGAAACCTAATATTCTGGGGTACATGTGTGTGTTACAATTTTCTAAAACTTGACTACACCATTCAATTGTTATAAATACATTAATATCTTGTTTAAAAACCTCAACTACTCTTTGGAAAACAAAAATATTTGTTCTAGAGGTGTTACATGAAAACTCACTTAAGATTCTCTAGCCCCCTTTCAGGGTCTACTTACTCTCAATTTAAACATAATTCAAACAAGTCTAAACATCTTATTGTCAGTCCACAGCAGATTAGAAAAAGAAGAATTCTAAGACAAGGAACAAGGAAAACAGTAAAGGAGGCTGAATTCTGGCAATAGATAAAATTACAAAGCCATTTAAAATACAAGAATTCGGCCGGACGCGGTGGCTCATGCCTGTAATCCCAGCGCTTTGGAAGGCCGAGGCAGGTGGATCACGAGGTCAAGAGATCGAGACCATCCTGGTCAACAAGGTGAAACCCCATCTCTAATGAAAATACAAAAATTAGATGGGCATGGTGGTGCGCGCCTGTAGTCCCAGCTACTCAGGAGGCTGAGGCAGGAGAATTGCTTGAACCCAGAAGGTGGAGGTTGCGGTGAGCCGAGATCATGCCATTGCACTTCCGCCTGGGTAACAACAGCGAAACTCCCTCTCAAAAAAAATAAATAAATAATAAAATAAAATACAAGAATTCATAAAATACAATAACCTACAATCAACTGGTGCAGAATCTTAGACATTGTTTTGGTCCCCAGAGATATAATTAAATGACAAAATACTGCAATAACTGCTTTTCATACTAATGACGGTGAGGTATTAAAAAGACACACAAGTGCTAATTACCCTAGGCATTGTTTAAATGGACAAACAAAAATATAGTCAAGCATGTATTTAAAAAAAATTAATTTATGTATCTAAAGTCTAGAAGGAGTACATGTTAGAATGTTAACTGTGGTTATTGCTTGGTGATAAGTTATGAGTGATTTTCTTTTTTGGTTATCAATATTTTCTAATTTTCTTTTTTTTTTTTTTTTTGAGACAGAGTTTCACTCTTGTTACCCAGGCTGGAGTGCAATGGCGGATCTCGGCTCACCACAATCTCCGCCTCCTGGGTTCAGGCAATTCTCTTGCCTCAGCCTCCTGAGTAGCTGGGATTACAGGCACGCGCCACCATGCCCAGCTAACTTTTTGTATTTTTAGTAGAGACGAGGTTTCACCATGTTGACTAGAATGGTCTCGATCTCGACCTCGTGATCCACCCGCCTCGGCCTCCCAAAGTGCTGGGATTACAGGCGTGAGCCACCGTGCCCAGCTGATATTTTCTAATTTTCTACAATAAGCACAGACTATTAAATTACAAAGGAAAAATGGGCATAAACATTAAAATTCACCTTAGAGAAGATTTCATCAAAATCTGCTAAAATGTTTGAAAAAAGTGACAAACTTAAATTCAATCCCTTAAATTCTTTTTGAAATAAGGTTAAGCACATATTTTCAAAAAATGAATAGAAACCACTAGGTACAATCAGAGAGTATAACATGCTCTTCCACTAAACACCAACTGGTGCTACTCAAAGAGACAAAACATTAAGAGATAAATCACTTCATTAGCCTCATCAGAATGGTGTTTCCTTTGGTATTTCACTGCCTCCTTTTGGACCTCATGCACTACGGCCTGAACATCCATCTTTTGAGGGAGTTTATATGCATATGTAATCTTCTATTTAGCCCTCAAGTTACTTTTTCCTTTTTTTTTTTTTCTTGAGTCTCACTCTGTTGCCCAGGCTGGAGTGCAGTGGTACAAACATGGCTCACTGCAGCCTCGACCTCCTGGGCTCAAGCAATCTTCCTGCCTCAGACTCCCATGTAGCGGGGACAACAGGCAAATGCCACTAAACCTGGCTAAGTTTTTTAAATTTTTTGTAGAGATGGCAGCGGCATCTCACTTCGTTGTCCAGGCTGGTACCGAACTCCTGGCCTCAAACAATCCTCCCACCTCAGCCTCCCAACAGAGCTAGGATTACAGGCATGAGCCACTGTGCCCAGCCTACATTTTTCCATATACTTTTAGTCTCAATATTTTAGATTAGGGTGAGTAAGTACATATTTACCTCCATTCACACCTTTTATAAATTTCTATTTTCCTGAATCTATTGTAGATTATATCTTCATCCTTTACTACCTGAAATTTTTAAATTTTTTTCAAAAATTTTTTATAAGAAAAAAGTTCCAACACCTTGATAAATGCAATTTGGCACTTGAATTCTTCTTACATGATTCAATACTTACAGGCTGATTAAGAGAACTGCATAAAGTATTACAGATAGAGGCAATCTCAATTATTACAGTCCATTAAGAGAATGTGGATTCCTACTACTTTTTCATGATTTCCAGTATTACTCTTGATAATATTCATTAAGCTATAAAAGCACTCTGTTCCAATATATTTATGAAAGAAGCAAATAATCAATAACTTACAGTCTATCATATAGTTCAAACACTTACTCCAAAATCTCTGGTTCTCCAAGTAATCAAACTAATCTCTTTAGTTTTCCTTTTCTATTTGGCTTTAACAGCTTTTGTTTTAATAAAACCTATATATTTAAGTCAAAATTTGTGTGGCTGCTTTTCGGGATAACATAAAAAAACACTGTGGGGAAAGATAGAGGTTGCTTCTAAACAGTTTCAATTTGCAGTAATATAAACACAGGCCAAACAAAAGAAAAAACAGAACCCATTCATTTTTAGAAACACATAAACACAGAAATCTAGAATTAGATCAGATTTTGCAATATTATAGAGACTGTCAAGTCCAATTTTAAATTTCAAGAGACTGAAGTCCAAAAAGTGAACTTTTCTGAGGGTAGCCAGTAACAGATGGATTTAGAACCCAGGTCTCTCAAATAATGAATGAGGTTTTTGTCACTCCTATTAAGTAAACCACAGGACAGTTTCTAAGTATTTCAAACTTATGAATCAAACCAAAGCAAAAGATACACACAGAAGCTGGATGGGTCAAATCTAATAAAATAAAATTTAACATATTAAATCCTACACTTGAATCCAAAGAAATATCTCTAAAAACAAAAGGAAAAGTCTTATTACCCTAAACAGTTTTTTAAAGAGTATTTGAAGATTTTAGATATTTAATTTGTAACTTGGATGGGAAGTTAGAAATTTTTCTCTTTCAGTGCCAAAACCTTAATATTGGCCAAATATGTTAAAAAGAGAACTAAACCACTGTGATCCTGCTAGGCTAATTTTAAGCTTAATTCTTACCTATGGAATAGCAGAAATATATGTACATGTGTTAAAATGTCAACATTTGAGATTCCTGTCCTCCATCATTTCTATTAAGGGGAGAAATTAAAACTTTCTGTTCTGAAAAGGATCTTATTCTGTAGCTGTTTGTGCAGAAATAACCTCACTTTATTGGCTTTCAATAACTTAATTTCTGGCCGGGCACAGTGGCTCACGCCTGTAGTCCCAGCATTCTGGGAGGTCGAGGTAGACAGATCACCTGAGGGTGGGAGTTCAAGACAAGCGTGGCAACATGGTGAAACTCCGTCTATACTAAAAATAAAAAAAATAGCCAGGCATGGTGGCTGACACCTGTAATCCCAGCTCCCAGGGAGGTTGAGGCAGAAGAATCACTTGAACCCAGAAGGCGGAGGCTGCAGTGAGCCAAGATGGCACCACTGCACTCCAGCCTGGGCGATAGAGCAACACTCTGTCTCAAAATAGTAATAATAATTTCTAAAACATTTAAAAGTACATTGCTCAATTCTGGAACAGGGAATTTTGATCTGCAATTAGCTAGAAAATTCATATTAGCTTAAGTCTTATGTCCCTATCATGCTTAAGAGATTGTCCACATGTTAATACATACATACTAGGAGCCACTGCACACATACTATGAGCCACTGACTATGCTAAATTCTTTCATGTAATTTCTCAGTTAATTAACCTAATTTAGGCTAGGATTTACAATAAGGACCTCTACACCACCTCACTTTGGCCAAGTTAGATAAAATTCTTACATATTTGCTTGCCTTCTAAACTCATATAGCAGCAAGTTAACGCTCATTTAAGAAACCACAGGTAAGTGTATTAGATAGCCAGAAAGGTGTCTATTCCTACCCAAACATTTCTACATGGAACTCTCACAGTTAGACTTTAGGAAATAAGTGCTTAGAGGCCACTATAGGGCCAGGCATGGAGGCTCATGCTTGTAATCCCAACATTTTGGAATACTGGCCACCAGGATTGCTTGAGGCCAGTTAAGAACTGTTTAGGCAACACAGCAAAACCCGACCTCTACAAAAAAATAAAATAAAACAGAGGCCATGGCCACAATCTTACTTCTTTCCTTTTCACATATTGTTGAAAACACAATTCATACCCAAAGGAAAAGAAAGCATTACATTAAAGAGACACCTGAACTTGTATGTTGACCGCAGCACTATTCACAATAGCAAAGTCATGGAACCCACCTAGGTGTTTACCAACAGATGATTAGTCAAAGAAAATGTGGTGCATATATACACTGTGGAACACTATGAAATGTTAAAAAAGAATAAAATCACCGGGCATGGTGGCTCACACCTGTAATTCCAGCACTTTGAAAGGCTGAGGCAGGCGGATCACAAGGTCAGGAGTTTGAGACCAGCCTGGCCACTATGGTGAAACCCTATCTCTACTAAAAATAAAAAAAATTAGCCAGGCATGGTGGTTCGTGCCTGTCCCAGCTACTCAGGAGGCTGAGGCAGAAGAATCTCTTGAATTCGGGAGGCGGAGGTTGCAGTGAGCTGAGATTGTGCCACTGTACTCCAGCCTGGGCAACGGAGCGAGACTCCTCAAAATCAATAAAATAAAAATAAGAATGAAATCACGTCTTTTGTAGCAACATGAATAGAGCTGGAGGCCATTATCCTAAGTGAACGCAGCAGCAGAAAATCAAGTATCACATGTTCTCACTTACAAGTGGATAAACATGGATATCAAGATGGAGATAACAGACAATGGGAACTCCAAAAAGGGGTAGCATGGGAAGGGAGTGAAGGTTTAAAAATTATCTACTGGGTACTATGTTCAATATCTGGGTGATGGGTACACTAGAAGTCCAATCTCTACCATCAGTCATGCAATAGCCATGTAACAAATAACCATATGTACCCTCTGAATCGAAAATTTAAAAAAAAATTCAACATCACTGCTGGCACATAAGAGATAATTAAGTAGTAAATCCTATGTAAATAACAGTTCACAGAATCTGGCTATTTCATGAAATGCATCTCACGAAGCAGAAATGAGTAGGCCTTTTTTTCAGAAAAAGACAAAGCTGCATTTGATTTACATAATTACAGACTTCACAAATAAATCTATTATAAAATACGTAAAATTACATACAAAATTTTACATATATTTATAGTTTACATAATTTATTTTCTGAATATAAGAAAAATTTACAATTTATTATTATGAATTTGGAAACCCTTCTGAAGACATATCTGAAAGCTACATTTGAGCTTCTGTTATTGGGACCCCTTTTTATCAACTACATACAGACTGTGACTCTACTTCCAATCTCCTAAAACTATTAACTGTTTTTCTGTCAACAAGTAAAACATCAACTGAATTGTATATTACAGTTTTTTTAAAAAAAGTCCTATATATTATAAAAAGAAGATGATGTCTACATCTAACCTCCCCCACACTCATTATTGGGGAATAAACAAAAAATTGGTTGGTGAATAAATGATCTGAAAGAAAAGAAATCCTATACAAAAATAAAGTAACAAAAACAGGTGACTACTGGTTAAAAATGTCACAAAATGAAATCTACCTAACTAAGCACTAAGTCAGAGTTTCTATTATTTATATCAGGACCCTTTTAAACTCTTTTTTTTTAGATGGAGTCTTGCTCTGTCACCCAGGCTGGAGTGCAGTGGTGCAATTTCGGCTCACTGCAACCTCTGCCTCCTGGGTTCAAGCAATTCTCCCACTTCAGTCTCCTCAGTAGCTGAGATTACAGGCATGTGCCACCATGCCTGGCTAATTTTTGTATTTTTAGAGATAGGGTTTCACCATGTTGGTCAGACTGGTCTTGAACTCCAGGCCTCAAGTGATCCACCCACTTTGGCCACCCAAAGTTCTGGAATTATAGGCGTGAGCCACCACACCCAGCCTAAACTCTTAAAAATTATGCAGAGGCCAGGTGCAGTGGCTCACAACTATAATCTCAGCACTTTCGGAGGTTGCGGCAGAAGGATCACTTGAGGCCAGGAGTTTGCAATAAGCCTGGGCAACATAGTAAGATCCTATCTCTATATAAAAAATAAATTTTTAAAAATTATGGAGGACCCTAAGAGCTTTTATTATGTAGGTTATGTTCATCAATATTTACCATAATTACTATTAAAACCAAGACTTGTGAATGTATTTATGAGCTCATTTAAAAAAATAACCATTTTATGTTTATGTAAATATATTTTAAGAGAAACAGCTATATATGATTTAAAATTTTAAACATTTAGAAGAGTAGCCCCATTTACATTTTTGCAAATCTCAACATCTGACTTAACAGAAGACAACTAGATACTCATTTATCTTTTTAGACATTCAATTTGTTGCACTATGTTCTTTAGACAAAAGTACATGGAAAAAAAAACAGCCTTGCTGGGCGCGACGACTCATGCCTATAATCCCAGCACTTTAGGAGGCCAAGGCAGGTGGATCACGAGGTCAGGAGTTTGATACCATCCTGGTCAACATGGTGAAACCCCATCTCTACTAAAAACACAAAAATTAGCTGGGCATGGTGGCACGTGCCTGTAGTCCCAGCTACTAGGGAGGCTGAGGAATTACTCTGAGGCAAGAGAACTGCTTGAACCCAGGAGGCAGAGGTTGCGGTGAGCCGAGATCGTGCCACTGCATGGCCTGGGTAACAAGAGCAAAACTCCGTCTCAAAAACAAAAACAAAAACAAAAAAACGCAGCCTCACAGTGACATCAAACTACAAAAAAGAAAACCTCATAAACGCCTCTAAGAAGGTCTCAGGGACTCCCAGAGGTCCACAAACCACACTCTGAGAACCACAACACTAAGTATATGGTAGCTGCTCAATAAACTTAGTGATTGATATGGAAATAAAAGCAGTTATGAGACAAGTACTTAAAAAGCATGCTTACTATACTGTTAGGGTGTAAAGGATTAACATGATAAATACAGTGTAAAACTCGTATTTCACAACTCAAGGAGACAGAATAAAATCACCTTCATATAGCAAATACCCACATTCTTAGACACACCCCAATAATAACTACCTCTCAAAATGGAAGAAAAGATACTTTTAACCCTTTCCCCATTTAGGAAAAAAAGGTGTAGCTTGCTGCCAGCACTCATTTAATTTTCCATAAACATGCTCATTGAGGCTGAAGCAAACCTGATTTTCAATGTAAAAATAAAATATAAAAACTGTTCTTGGAGTTATTATTATTATTATTATTTTTAGAGACGTTGTCTTGCTCTGTTGCCCAGGCTGGAGAGCAATGATACAATCTCGGCTCACTGCAACCTCCACCTCCTGGGTTCAAGTGATTCTCCTGCCTCAGCCTCCCAAGTAGCTGGGATTACAGGTGCATGCCACCATGCCCAGCTAACTTTTTGTATTTTTCTTAGAGACAGGGTTTCACCGTGTTAGCCAGGATGGCCTCAATCTCCTGGCCTTGTGATCCACAAGCCTCAGCCTCCCAAAGTGCTGCAATTACAGGTGTGAGCCACTGTGCCCAGCCTCTTGGAGTTATTTCTAAACAGAACATCAGAATTGTATGAATCATCAGAATTGTCTATTTAAAAAAAAAATCAGATTCATCAAATGAATCTTTGGCCAACAACTGTTCAAGAATGACATTAACATCATGTGCAGGAATGCTATTTTCTAGGATTTGACATTTTCAGCAATGAAGAACTACTATATTTTGTAAATGAATATACCACTCCTAACACCAGAATGCTATACATAGAATGATGTCTTTTGTTTCCAAAGTCAATATACTATAGCAATGTGAAAATAATGATAAAAGCTAGGTATTTTGTGGCAAAGTTATCTCAGGGTAAACACTGACTGTAAGCACTACTGGTGAGTATTCTCAGGACAGAGAGGAAAAGGGTTAAAAACAGCTGCATCGGTTGGGTGCAATGGCTCATGCCTGCGATCCCAGCACTTTGGGAGGCCAAGTCGGGCAGACCACCTGAGGTCAGGAGTTTAAGACCAGCCTGGCTAACACGGTGAAATCTTGTTTCTACTAAGAATACAAAAAATTAGCCAGACGTGGTGGTGCGAACCTGTAATCCCAGCTATTCAGGAGGCTAAGGCAGGAGAATCATTTGAGCCTGGGAGGCAGATGATGCAGTGAGCTGAGGTCGTGCCATTGCACTCCAACTTGGGCAACAAGAGCAGAACTTTATCTCAAAATAAATAAATAAATAAAATAGTTGCACCATCTATATATATAAATAGAGAGAGAGAGAGAGAATAGGCAAATTCATAAAGAGAATAGTTGTTACCAGGACCAAGAAGGAGGGAACATGGGGAGTTATTATTCAATGGGTTCAGAGTTTCTGTTTGGGATGATGAAAAAGTTCTGGAAATGAATAGTGGTGACTGTTGCATAACACTGCAAATATACTTAATGTCATTTAATTGCACACTTAAAAATTGCTAAAACGGTAAATTTTATGTTATGTATATTCTACCTCAATTTTAGAAAACAAATATTAAATATTTTTAAAAAACTGAAACATAGACCACTTAAAAATATACAAGGTTGGGCCGGGCACAGTGGCTCATGCCTGTAATCCCAGCACTTTGGGAGGCCGAGGCATGTGGACTGCCTGAGCTCAGGAGTTCAACACCAGCCTGGGCAACATGGTGAAACCGTTTCTACTAAAAATACAAAAAAATCAGTCGGGCATGGCAGTGCACACCTGTGGTCCCAACTACTCAGGAGTCTGAGGCAGGAGAATGACTTGAACTCAGGAGGTGGAGGTTGCAGTGAGCCAAGATTGCGCCACTGCATTCCAGCCTGGGTGACAGAATGAGCAAGACTCCATCTCAACAAACAAACAAACAAACAAACAAACAAACAAACAAACAAAAAGGCTGCCCTGAAACCACAAGATATAAAGTCCTAATTTCTTTTGTTTACTTTTAATGTACTTAATGGTACATTTAAACAAAATAAATCTTTCAAAAATAGAAGGTATGAACACCAGCTTGAACTATTAAGGGAACTAGATATCTGAAAAATGGAATTGTGAAGAATATCTTATTACTTACCTGCAACATGCTGACTATCTCAACTTTGTTGAAGAAAATAAAAGACGTGAGAGTAGAAAGAAAATTCTCTTCAAAAACAGATGGTGTGGGCAAAATGATGTCCTGAATGTACTGTACCCTGTAAGTCTGATGTATTTTTTGTCTTAGTTCAGAGTCTGTTATTGGTATAACTTCCTTAAACTTTGCAGTTTTGGTCAAGAATTCTCTATGTCTTTTTGGCTGAGCCAAAGCAGGGTCATATTCAAGGCATCCCACGACATCCATGATACACTCATCAGAAAACATTACCTCAAAAAGAGTTGCCTTATTTAGGAATAAGATTCCTCTAATAATTTCATACAAATGGTGTAAGCCTTCAGTGTTTTCTAGGTTCTCACAAGCTTGGAACAGCTGCAGTAGTTTTTTAATATAGCCTTCATTTTCCAAGGCGAGAGCCAGCTTTTCCCTACGGATAGGTGAGGAGAGCACTGAGGTAACTAAGTCAGCAATCTCTTCAAGTTTATTGAGTTCACATGTGGGCAGGTCAATCAGATGACTAGTTTCAGGCATTTCTTCAAATCGTTCTTCTTCGGATTCATCAATGAGGTCCTGTGTGACTTCCACTGATGGGTCTTTACCTTGAACCTAAAAATATCCAAGTGTACAGCTAATTACATTAAAATACAAAAGAATTCAAAATTTTGGAAATCAAATCCCTGACCACTGACTTTAAGTAAATATTATACAAAGAATAAATACTAATAGTCACTTATTAATTTATTATTATTATTTTCTGAGATGGAGTCTCACTCTCTCCCCCAGGCTGGAGTGCAGTGGCACAATCTTGGCTCACTGCAACCTCCGCCTTCTGGGTTCACACAACTCTCCTGCCTCAGCCTTCCAAGTAGCTGGGATTACAGGCGTCTACCACCATGTCCAGCTAATTTTTTGTATTTTTAGTAGAGACAGGATTTCACCATGTTTGTCCGGCTGGTCTCAAACTTCTGACCTCATGATCCACCCGCCTAGGCCTCCCAAAGTGCTGGAATTACAGGCGTGAGCCACCACGCCCGGCCTATTATTGTTATTGTTATTATTATTTATTTATTTATTTATTATTTTTGAGATGGGGTTTCACCATGTTGGTCAGACTGGTCTTGAACTCCCGACCTCAGGTGATCTGCCCGCCTCGGCCTCCCAAAGTGCTGGGATTACAGGCGTGAGCCACCATGCCCGGCCTATTATTATTTTTAATAGAAACAGGATCTAGCTCTGTTGCTCAGGCTGGGTGCAGTGGTGTGATCACAGCTCACTGTCACACTAAATTTCTGGGCTCAAGCAATCCTCCTGCCTTTGCCTCCCAAGTGCCTGAGACTACAGGCATGTGTCACTACACCTAGCTAACATTTTACTTTTTGTGGAGACAGTGTCTCCTGCCTCAGACACCTGAAGTGCTGGGATTACAGGTGTTAGCCACCATGCCTGGCCTAGACTTCACTTTTAATTAGTAGTGACTGGCCAGGCACAGTGGCTCACGGCTATAGTCCCAGCACTTTAGGTAGCTGAGGCAGGGAGATCACTTGAGATTAGGAGTTTGAAACCAGCCTGGGCAACATGGTGAAACCCCGTATCTACTAAAAATACAAAAATTAGCCAGGTGTGGTGGCATGTGCCTAAAGTCCTAGCTACTCGGGAAGCTGAGGCAGGAGAATAACTTGAACCTGGAAGGCGGAGGGTGCAGTGAGGCAAGGTCGCACCATTGTACTCTAGCCTGGGCAACAAGAGGAAAACTCCATCTTAAAAAAAAGAAAGAAAGAAAGAAAAAAATCTGTTTTTTAAAAATCAGGCATTCATTTAACATCTATGATAAAGCCCCCAAGTTCTAATATCTAGATAAAAATCACAACATAACAAACGAACAACAGTTTTTTGATTCAAGTTGACAGCTCAAGATAAGCATAGCTAACATAAATTTTCTATAAAAAATTACTCAACAACAAAAAATTTTCAGAGGCATAAGAATCGCTTGTACCCGGGAACCAGAGATTGCAGTGAGCCAAGATTACGCCACTGTACTCTACGCTGGGTGACAGTCTCAAAAAAAAAAAAAAAAAAGTTTAGAAATGTACTCTTCACGAAATTGTTCTAATTCCTAAGCCAGGTGTGTGGCACGCACCTGTAGTCCCAGCTACTTGGGAGGCTGAAGCAGAAGGTCACTTGAGCCCAGGGGTCTGAGGATACAGTACACTATGATTGCATCAATACACTCCAGTGGCAATAGAGGGAGACCTTGTCTCTTAAAAAAAATTAAATAAATAAAATTAGCCGGCACAATGGCTCACACCTATAATACCAGTTCTTTGGGAGACAGAGGCAGGAGGACTGCTTGAGACTAGGAGTACAAGATTAGCCTAGGCAACATAGTGAGACTCCATCTCTACAAAAATAAAGATTAGCTGGGTGTGGTGGTGCATGCTTGTAGTCCCAGCTATTTGGGAGGCTGAGACGGAAGGATCGCTAGAGCATGGGAGTTCGAGGCTACAGTGAGCTGTGATTTTGTCACTGTACTCTAGCCTAGGCAACCGAGTGAGACCCTGTCTCAAAAGGGTAATTCCGGACAGGCATGGTGACTCATGCCTGTAATCCCAGCACTTTGGAAGACCGAGGAACATGGATTACTTGGGGTCAGGAGTTCAAGACCAGCATGACCAACATGGTGGAACCCTGTCTCTACTAAAAATATAAAAATTAGCTGGGTGTGGTTGCAAGCACCTGTAATCCCAACTACTCAGGAGGCTGAGACAGAGGAATCACTTGAGCCTGGGAGGCAGAGGATGCAGTGAGCCAAGATCACACCATTGCAGTCCAGCCTGGGCAACAGAGTGGGCCCCGGTCTCAAAAAAAAAAAGTAATTTCTAACCCAACAGTGCAACTATCCTCATTCTTCTCTACCTCAAAATTCTCAAATATGAGTAGAAAAAGTTTCACAAACCTCCAAATCCACCAAAGCAAAACATGAAAAAATATTTAAAAGCACAAAGAAGTAGATAAAAAACTTAGAGAAAGAAGTACGTGAATTCCTTAATGGATGACAGTACTTTTACTTCTGAGTTCTCAACAGAGTATGGGCCTAGGGAAACTGACACATTAATGTAAGAGAAAGTGTAAGTACTGAACTCTTAACAGCAGTTTAGATAAAATACCACTGAAACTGAGAAAAATTTCCTACTAGATCTTTGTGAAATTGAGAAAAACATCCTAGTAATTCTTTGTGAAATAGAGGTGGAGGCAGCCGAAAAAAAATCCTAAGAGCAGTGACATTTGGTATCTTGAATCGGCCTTCAAGATGGATATAATTCAGATAGGAGATAAAGGTACTCAAAGCTGAAGGGAAACAGCCCAGAAGTAGAGAGATGGAAATATATGACATGAATGTGGCAAACACCGAAACTACAAATGTTGACTGTAGCCAGAAAGTGGAATATCAAGTTAAAACACTGAGTTATTGTGTAGGGAAGTGAATGTGAAGACCTTCCTTTAGGAAGTTAATCTGGCATTGGTCCTACGGGATAAATTTAAAAACAGAGATGAATTTTAGAGCGTTATTCTAAAGTCTACATGTACTACTTGAACTTGGATAGTGATGGTGGGACAAACAGAGAATGGGAAAGATGAGAGAAAGCTACAAAAGTGGAGAAATCACAAGACACCCTATATTATTAAACCTTTCATTAGAAGGATTACAACTTCTTTAACAAAACATGGGAACAATGGGGAAGAATGGCTGTTAGAAATTAGTTTTATTAAGGTTGAGGTGTTTGAATATTCAGCTGGCAACTAAATCTGTGGTCTTACTACTCAGGAAAGACAACAGAGCAGAAGAGAGAAATCTGGATTAAAGCCAAACTATGACAGTATTGAGAAAAAGAGAAGCAAAGTGTAAGGGAGGAAGGAAGAAGAAGAATCATAGGTGATACAGAAAGAATAAGTAGAAATCAGATGAGTTAACCTACACTTCAAATGAATATAGTTTGCATATGTTTAAGAATAAAAGCACAACTCTAGAAGCATTTACTAAATTACAATGTTTATTTCTATGTTATCTAGTACTAATCCTTGTAAACTTCCTGGATTCCCTACTAATTAACTTTCATTGATCTGACCTGTCAATCCCACAGAAACCTAAATATCTATATAGGTAGAATCAGTGCTCTCTACAAAGTATTTCTCATTCTCTCCCTTTTGAGAGAGATGATTTCTTTGTCTCCATGAATACTTGCAGTTGTATAACTTGCTTTAGCCAAATAAATGTGAACAAAAGTGTTCTGTTTAACTTCAGGGCAGAACTTTTAAAAGCTGGTCCTCTGATTCACCACCTTTCCTTCTCACTTTGCAGTGATTTTAGAAGTATTAAAATGAAATCTCGGCTGGGTGTCGTGGCTCACGCTATTATCCCAGCACTTTGGGAGGCCGAGGCTAGTCAATCACTTTAGGCCAGGAGTTCCAGACCAGCCTGGCCAACATGGTGAAACCCTGTCTCTACTAAAAATACAAAAATTAGCTGGGTGTGGTGGCATGCACCTGCAATCCCAGCTACTTTGGGAGGCTGAGGCAGGAGAATCGCTTGAACCCAGGAGGCAGAAGTTGCAGTGAGCTGAGATCGCACCACTGTACTCCAGCCTGGTGACAGAGCAAGATTCTCTCAAAAAATAATATTAACATAAAATAAGTAGAATAGGAAGAAATAAAATAAAATACATTCCCTTCCAGCTTGGTCCCTGAATGACTCTGATGAGTAGGGCCCCTTCCCCAACTGGTCAAACAGCATTAAGGAGAACTCAACTTTTGCTATGGCAAGCCATTGACATTTTAGGATCATATTACTACAACAAAATCTGATCATAACATCTTAAAGACAGCCAATGAACTGTGCTGTATAGGTTCACCATAAATTCACACTATCAATAGGGTTTTTCAATTAAAGTTCTCTATTCCATAATCCTATCGTCGTCCCTTACAGCTGCTACTTTAAATATTTTTTTCACTTCCCAACTTCTCAGACATTACATTCACCTTTAAGACTCAGAAGATGTGAAGGCTTCTTCCTTTGACTAAAAAGTCCATCAGTACTCAACTTCCTCCAACACTTCTCCATCTCACAACTTACCTTCAAGCATTTCCTTCATTGATTTCAAAGAAAATATCCATACCATTTCCTAAGGTTAACATTTCAAAAGGTACTTCTATACTTAATGCTTTCTGAAAGCTCAACATATAAAAATTATCTTGGCTCTTGTTTTTATTATTTCTTTCTCTCCAATGGTTCCTTCTATTTCATCATTCTCCATTCCGTTTAAGACACTCTGAAATCTCTGAACCATCAAACTTTTGCAGAAAAACTCTTTTGTACTATTTCTCATTATAAGAGATTAAGAAATAACTAAGTAACATGGCTCTTAATAAAACTGAAATTGTTCTTTCAAAGATCAGCAATGACTTCCCAGAACTGAAAAACTAAAACATGACATATGATTTTGTGAAATATCATGCAGTAGTTCGGAGCAAAAACTGTATATTCAGCAACATGCATAGATTTAAAGGAGTACTGTGTTGTGCGGTAAAGAGTTAACTTTGCTAAAGCATCAGAGTGGCTACATCTAATATCCCTTCCAAAGGTGGACAAGTTTGAATAAAATCAATGACAAGAATAAAAATAAAAATCAATGACAAATGGAAAGAAGAAACAGTAAGAGGGCAAAGGAATGAAAAAATGAGTAATGTAGCAAAGAAAATCCAGTATTAACATTGGCGCCTAAGCTAGGTGCTGTGGCTCATGCCTGTAATCCCAACACTTTGGGAGGGTGAGGTGGGCAGATCACGAGCTCAGGTGTTCAAGACCATCCTTGAAACATGGTGAAACCTCACCTCTACAGAAAATACAAAAATTAGCCAGGCATGGTGGCACAGGTCTATAGTCCCAGTTATTAGGAAGGCTGAAGTGGGAGAATCCCTTGAGCCTGGGAGGCAGAGGTTGCAGTGAGCCAAGATCCCACCATTGTACTCTAGCCTGGGGAGAGCCATACCATATCTCAAAAAAAAAAACAAAAAAAAAAAAAAACAAAAAAAAACCCAAAACACTGATGCCTCAAGAAAGGCTGAAGCAAGTGATGACACTGTCTCTTAGCTCAGTTATCAGATCCTGGAAGGGTGAAGCAATAGGTCTGCCAAGAGCAACCCTCTTCTTAGAACCTCACCAAGTCAAATGGGAGCCTGTAAGCTTTGAAGAGTGATGCTGCTCTGGGAGACATTTTGACATACAATATGAGGATAAATCAGACCAACTGTTAATGACTAAGTGGGATTCTAGTAATATGCTAGGTTATATCTACTACCATACTATGATATGGTGTAACACTATTATTGTTGTTTCAACCACTTCATCTATATAAATCTTATGGTAATACTCTTAGAGATGATCAAATGTACTGGGAGATTGAGTTAAAGCATCCAGAGGATATAATGCTGATAGAAAAATCACTGGCCCATGCTGCAGTTATTTGAACAATAAAAGTAAACTAAGGAAAAAGAAAGTCACTGGCCCTACAGAATTATGGTCTGAAACCTAAGAGAAAAAAGAAAAAAAAAACAACTGGACTGACAAAAAGCTGGATTTTGTTGCCTATCAGTTTCTATGGTATACAGTTCTGTACAAGTTTATCATAAGGTACAATCTGCAGATCAAGGAGAATAAGAAATCAAAGTAGGGCCGGGCGTGGTGGCTCAAGCCTGTAATCCCAGCACTTTGGAAGGCCGAGGCGGGTGGATCACGAGGTCAAGAGATCAAGACCATCCTGGTCAAAATGGTGAAACCCCGTCTCTACTGAAGATACAAAAAAAAATTGGCTGGGCATGTTAGTGCGTGCCTGTAATCCCAGCTACTCAGGAGGCTGAGGAAGGAGAATTGCCTGAACCCAGGAGGTGGAGGGTGCGGTGAGCCGTGATCGTGCCATTGCACTCCAGCCTGGGTAACGAGCAAAACTGCATGTCAAAAAAAAAAAAAGAAATCAAAGTAGTACAAAAACATAAAAGTTATGTCATAATTTTATAGGGAAAGTTAGTTGTTTCTTTAAACCTATCTCTACTCCATACTGGCCCCAAATGCTAGGTATATTCATACTGATATTATTTTTTCATCTGTGGGAGCATCTATGCTAAATGTAGATGCTCACACAAATATGATCATTTTGGTGTAAGAAAGTCTTCGTCAAGGAATGGCCTGTGCAATAAAGAACTGACCTTGCCAAAGGAAAAGTCTGGCCCTTGTCTAGTTCCAGGGAGGTAAACTCTAAGTACTCAGAATATCCTGCTTCGTAATAGTGTTTTTGTTTGCCTGGGGGCTTCTACCTATGCCAGACATGCTATGCTAACAAGTTGTTTACGGTGGGGGCCTTGGACCCCAAGATATCCTTGACCTCTGGAGGTGCTGGAATAAGGTCAGCCACACAGGCAGTCAGCCATGCTTATGTGAACCCTAATCCCCAGTGAAAACCCTAGAAACAAAGGTTTGAGTAAACTTCTCTAGTTGGCAATACTGAATGTGTGCTGCTGTATACCACTGCTGGGAGAAGTAAGTGCTGTCTGCACGATTCCACTGGGAGAGAGAATTAGAAGCTCAAGACTGAAACTCTCCTAGACTCTACCCTACGCACCTTTTCCCATTGGTGATTTGAATCTGTATCATTTTGCTATAATAAGCTGTAACTGTGAGTGTAACAGGTATGCTGAATGCTGTGAGTTTTTCCATTGAATTATAGAAATTGAGAGTGGTCTTAGAGACCTCCTGAACTACCTAAGTGAAAAGAGTAATAAATTTTTTTTTTTTTTTTGAGACGGAGTTTCACTCTTGTTACCCAGGCTGGAGTGCAATGGCGCGATCTCGGCTCACGGCAACCTCCACCTCCCAGGTTTGAGTTACACACCTGCCTCAGCCTCCCCAGCAGATGGGACTACAGGCACGGGCTACCAAACCCAGCTAATTTTTGTATTTTGAGTAGAGATAAGGTTTCACCACGGTAGCCAGGCTAGTCTTGAACTCTTGAGCTCAGGTGATCTGCCCACCTTGGCCTCCCAAAGTGCTGGGATTACAGGCGTGCTCCACTGTGTCCAGCTGGACAAATACATTTATATCCAAGAACATATATTAAAAAGTAGGTGTTGACATATGGGGGCGGGCTGGTAGGATGGGACAAGGTATAATCTAATATTGTAAGAACTAGAATAAATTATCCACCATATAAATTTATATTCTAGCAGATATGTAAATCAACACCCTAGTTCTAAATAAAAGATGTTTATCTTCTGCATCATAGTTACGTTTTCTGTAAATCTAAAACTATTCTAAAACAAAAAGTTTCTTTTAAAAAATTCCAGTTACTTAAGAGTTACCACATATTCTACATATCCTGCTACCTTATAAGTTCTACATAAACTGAACTCTTGAATACTGTCGATCATTAGTGCCTGGTACGGTATTCATAAACATTAGTTAAACGTATGATCAAGTATTTATTTCTTTAATCTAAAAGCCTGGCTTAATTAATCTTCTTTTAGTTTGTTTAAAGTACTTGCCATTCTACAATATAAGGTATTAATTATGAGCATATGCTATCAAAATCTAAAGTGGTAAAACAAAACTATGACAAAGTCGTTTTTAAAAAATTTAAAATACTTTGCTGTAGAATATAAACAATTTCAAGTTAAATTATCAAGTCTCACACTAAGACACTCTCTATCCACATCCTAATACATACATTTGAAGTAAAAAGGAAACAAAAATTCAAGAAAATATGCAAATGTTAAGTTAAATATTGAAAAAAAAAAAAACTTACCTGACATATTTTTTCCCAGATCTCATCACAGCCAGCTTTTTCCTGAAAACTCAGAGCCAAATCATAGTTCTCTGCTTCTGACCAAACAATTAATGTATCCTGTTTAAAAATAAATGTTTCTACATCATCATACTAGAAAAGAAATATCTACAAAATATAAATAAAAATCAAGAGGACTGGAAACAGCACAGCAATGACAAATACCTGGGATAAGGGCAATTAATGTATATTTGATTGGCATTATTAGTAATATATTGGCAATAAAATAGTAACTTTGGTACTAAAAATGACACTGAGCAATTTTCTAAAACAAAAACTATTAAAACAGGTTAGTAGGCTCTGATTCATGTTACCCAAATTAAATTTATAAAAAGGCCAGCCATTCTTGGCCAAAACTGTTTTCAACAGAGAAATTCCAATCATCTACTTTCTGTTGCTTCCAGAAAACCAGCTGTTCCATTCACTAACCACCTACGTATTTATCCTTCCCTTTGAGTTGGTTAAAGGTGAGCTAACCAATACCCAAAAACAGGTTAAGGCTTAACTCTATTTTTGCCTTTTTTTTTTAAAATCTGGAAAAGACTTTAGGATCTTAAGAAATGCAACACCATGGTGAAACAAAGCTATCTGCTCTTATTTACAAGAGCTTCCAACAGCCCCCAGTTCAGTACCTTAGGCTGTAGGAAAATTAGCCCAAGGTTTAGGTAAGCAGTCTCCTAGAATGTCTTCAATTATATGCCTACCAAAAGGTTAGTCACACTAGAAGGTTGTCAACCCTTGTATTAGAAACTAGGGTTTCTAATAACATACACACACACACACAATAAAACACACACACAAATATACTAATAAAACACACACACACACAGACAAATATACATATATATATTCTGTTGTTGTTTGTTTCCCCCTTGAAACAGTGTCTAGCTCTGTCACCAAGCTAGAGTGTAGGGGTACAATCACGACTAACTGCAGCCTTGACCTTCGAGGCTCCAGCAATCCTCCCACCTCAGCATCCCAAGTAGCTGGGACTACAGGTATACAAACTATGCCACACTAAGTTTATGAAGAGACAGAGTTTCACCATTTTGCCCAGGTTGGTCTGGAACTCCAATCCCTGGGCTCAAGCGATCTGCTGGCCTCAACCTCCCAAAGTGCTGGGACTACAGGTGTAAGCCACTGCACCCAGCCTCCACACACGTTTTTAAACACTAAAAACACTGTAATACTCAAATGAAATAAACAATCTTTTAAGGATATATAACAATTAAAGTTTAATATGGTTAAAACTTTTTCAAAAAAATACACACAAATTGAGTTTATGCTCTACCAAAAATATAATCTATAAAACACCTTAGGTTTAATAATTTGTTTAACTAGTACTTATAAATATTACGACCTGACATGAAGAAATACAAACTAAAAGTCATCCCCAGATCAAAGACAAAGTTTTGAAAATGGGATCATTTCAGTACTTTTTGGCTTTAAACAGTAAATGAAAAATATTCTTTAATTATCAGGGCCTCAGATTAATATTTCTTATTTTCTGTGTAATCAGGTAAAAATAGCTGGAAATCTGTGTTCTACCTTCTTCCTGGCTATTCTTTCTGGAAGAGCAACTTGCTACCAGAATTAGTCTAAAATTCTATCAAGCCACTCCTTTGTTTAAAATCTTTCAGTTTCAGCCAGGCGCAGTGGCTCACACCTGTAATCATAGCACTTTGGGAAACCAAGGCAGGCGGATCACGAGGTTAACAGATCAAGACCATCCTGGCCAACGAGGTGAAACCCCATCTCTACTAAAAATACAAAAATTAGTTGGCCGTGATGGCACATGCCTGTAGTCCCAGCTACTTGGAGGCTAAGGCAGGAGAATCACTGGAACCCGGGAGGCAGAGGCTGCAGTGAGCCAACATCGTGCCACTGCACTCCAGCCTGGTGACAGAGTAAGACTTTGTCTCAAAACAAACAAACAAAAAACCCTTCAGTGTCTCTCATCAACCACAAAAGTTTTCAAACATTTTTTTAAAAAACCAGAACCCCTTCTACAAAAAAAAATTTACTGAGTACCTCCATATATAAAAAATATAAAAATACAGCTATTCTGGTCAGCACTGGTTAAAGCATCAGGGTACCCACTCAGGCTCCCTAATTCCAAGTCATCTTCTTAGGCCTCCTCAAAGTGGCTTCATGAACAGTGATCTCCAAAATATTTTTGACTGCACCTCAATTCACTTGTATATTATATACAAGAATATATTAGTATATTAATGCATATAAAACACATGCTGAAATAGAAAAGGCTTATAAGAAGATAACATAAGCAAAATTTTTAAATGTTTGAACTTTAAAACCCAATATACATGGCTCAAGCCTGTAATTTTAGCATTTTGGGAAGCTAAGGCAAGTGGATTACTTGAGCCCAGCAGTTTAAGACAGCCTGGCCAATGCAGTGAGACTCCCACATCTAATTTTTTTTAAAAAGTATCTGTTTAAAAACTGAACTTTTTAAGAGGGATAACTTGTTGTCAGAGCTATTAAATAATTGTTTCTGTTTTGTCACATGGTCAACAGTTTTTACTAGCAGTAAATATATATTTAACCATTATCTAGTTCATTTGTACTTTTATATCATTATCAACCCCTTTTAAAGCACCTATCCATTTTGTTTGAGTTAGTTTGCTAAATATTTGGTTACTTCCACACATAGGCTACAATAATTCACAAAAGGTGAGCGTGAGAATATAGGAATAAACTGTTTCTCATACTACATTCTCACAACACAAACCACTGCTGTCACCTTTGTCATCAAGAAGTATGGTGATTTCTTCCCACCGATAATCAATCAGTTCCACACTGTACACCAGATGGGTGTTCCCCAATTCACCTTCGACACTGTTTACCTGGAGATAGTGTCAGATCCCACAGTTGAGGGATCAGCCCTGTAAGACTGCCCCTACTTCTAACGCCAATTGCAAGCACGGGTTGTTTTACGGGTGCTTACAACCAAATGCCTATAAATCAGGCTTCCCATGACCCCCTCCTTGGATTTGATTAGTTTGCTAAAGTAGCTCACAAAACTCAGGGAAACAGTTATATTTACTGGTTTATTATAATATAAAGGATATTTTAAAGGATACAAATGAAGAGGGGCATAGAGCAAGGTATTGAGTAAGAGGCTCAAAGGTTGCATTCCCCCCCTATGCACATTAACCTCCAAGAATCTCCACTTGGTTATCTGGAAGCTCTCCAAAACCAGTCCTACTGGCCTTTTATGGAGGCTTCATTAAACAGGTATTATTAAATAAATCACTGGCCACTGGTGATTAATAAACCCTCAGCCTCTCTCCCTTCCTGGAGGTTGGAGGATGAGGTTCAAAGCCCCAATCTTCTAATCATGCTTTGGTCTTTCTGGAGACTAGCTCTATAGATAGTACTACCTACAGTTAGGTCTATGGATATTACTAACAGAATGAAACCTAAAACCTTTTATCCAGCCATCCATTGCCCTTTCCATTTTGGCTACCATCAATGTTCTGAGAAAAGGTCCAGGTAAACAATGAAATCTGAATTCAGGCAACTGAGCACCTTTTCATCATTACTTTCTTTTGATGTTTTTTTCCTTTTTTTTTTTTTTTTTTTTTTAATACAGAGTCTCGCTCTGTTGCCCAGGTTGGATTGCAGTTGTGTGATCTTGGCTCACTGCAACCTCCACCTCCGGGGTTCAAGTTTCTCCTGCCTCAGCCTCCTGGGTAGCTAGGATTACAGGATTGTGCCACCATACCCAGCTAATTTTTGTGTTTTCAGTAGAGACAGGGTTTCATCATGTTGGCCAGGGTGGTCTTGAACCCCCAACCTCAGGTGATCTGCCCGCCTTGGGCTCCCGAAGTGCCAGAATTAGAGGTGGGAGCCATTGCACCTGGTCCTTCATTCTTAACTTTTAAAATTTGATCTAGTCAAAATACCAGAAACTAAATGGCATTTATATTTAGAGTTCTTTTCCAATGCTGAGGACGGACCTTGGGAAATAGTTAATGGTTACTGATCTTCCTTCTTCCTGATTACCAACATCTGATCCATCGCATGCTCTGTCAATACTACCTTCAATATATATCACAAAATCCATTCATCTCTGTCCATCTCCATCACCTCAATCCAATCCAACATTATCTTTTGCTTGGAGTATGCAGCAATCTCATTTGAGTTTCCCACTTATTGCTTCTCTTCAATTCCACTGATTGATACTATTAAGTATTTTGAGTCATGTCATTGCTCTGCATAAACTCTTCAAAAACTTTCAACTGCACTTTAAAAATCCCAATTAGGCTGGATATAGAGGTTCATGCCTGTAATCCCAGGACTTTGGGAGGCCAAGGGAGAACTGTTTGAGGACAGGAGTTTGAGACCAGCCTGGGCATCACAGTGAGACCTCATCTCTGCTAAAAATTAAAAAACATTAGCTGGGCGTGGTGGTGTGCACCTGTAGTCCCGGCTACTCAGAAGGCTGAAAGGGAAGGGTCACTTGAACCCGGAAGGTCAAGGCTGCAGTGAGATGTGATCATGCCACTGCGCTCTTGACTAGGAGACAGTCTCATCTCATCAAAACTACCCCCACCTGTGAAAAAAATCCAGACTAAAGATAGTGTCCAGCCCAGAAGCAGCACTCAATGAGGTAATTCTGGATGAATGAACAAATGTGGTCATATCAACAAGACTCAGTCTTGAGCTCTGTTCTTTTCTCAATTTATAGCTACTACCTCAAAGGAGGTCACCTCGCAGCTAAAAATTCATAATCCATTTGATTATTTTAAGGCTGGAGTACAGATGGCTATTCACAGGTGTGATCATCACGAACTACAGCCTCAAACTCCTGGTCTCAAGCAATCCTCCTACCTCAGCCCTAAAAAGCTGAGACTACTACTGGCACGCCAGGCCTTTTATTATTATTTTTTTTTTTTGAGATGGAGTCTCGCTTTGTTGCCCAGGATGGAGTGCAGTGGCGTGATCTTGGCTCACTTCAACCTCTGCCTCCCAGGTTCAAGCGATTCACCTGCCTCAGCCTCCTGAGTAGCTGGGATTACAGATGCATGCCACCATGC